GCTCAGAAATCTTCAGATTTTACTACTGGTTGACCATTGAGAAACATTTGAAAAGATATATGCGGAAGCTAAGAGAAATATTCCACTCAAAAAGCTTGTGAAAAGGCGTATAGTGATGAAGGACCTCTTATGTGTTACTTGCTACTGCTTGACTGGTGCCCTAGGTTGTGGTTGGTTCTTGGGAAGAAGGAAAAAATGTGGTTACTGTGCTATATTCTCTTTGGCCATGAAAGAAGAAATGTTAAGAAGGGAGGAATAGGCCTTGTAGAATTGCACAGCCCAAAGGAAAGGTAAGATTGACCAAGGAATGGAAAACAACTTACTCGGGGCACCACTGCATTTGGCTCTTGCTTCAGTAAACATTGACAAGACACCTACTTAACTTTTGAGTGGAGATATCTCTTAGCTTACATGTAATAGTCACCGTACATAAGGTCCTCACTCTAGCAAGGAAAAAACAGCAATGTAACTGAAGGAAATTTGGCTAGGTGGGGCAACCTTCTATGACTGGTTGGGTGTTTTTTGTCTGTCATGTGTACACAGGACTGTGTATACTGCTCTTCAAGATTTGACTGTAAAAGCCTTGGGTTGGACTTATGTGTCAGATACAGTGGGGAGTTAGTGGCTAACACAAAGTGCAGATTACATACACAATGTCTGGAGAGGCTGGGAAGAGAGGACCTGGTGGTGTGTGTGTAGCTGTTTACCACTGACAATATAAATCCTCCTAACCCTAAACCCCATCCTGCCTGTCGGAGCAAGTAACGTGGTGTTTACAAGGACAAAGCTGGTCTTTGCCATGTTGAGACATGATAGACTGATATCATGTTGAACGTGTGACTTTTTGCCCTCAGAGTACTTGGGTCTTTTCCTCATCCTCTTAATGTTGATATTTTTATGGAGATTTCTTGATATGCAGGACGTTATGTATGATTTCTACTGCATTCATTAAAGTTGATTTTCTGCTAGACTAAAAAGAACCTTTGTCTGTGTTCTTCTTTCTAGTAACCTTAGCATACTAGGTTCTCTAAATTTACCAGAAACTTAATGATAGAATAGATATTTAATTTAATTTTTTTTTTCATAACAGCTAACAGCAAAACATATTTTTTTTAAATTCTAAGTAACTATGAAGATAGGGGCTTGTCCAATGAAAAGACAATGTAATGTCTATCCAGTGGCCCAAACTGTACTTGGGTCAGCACATTCCCAAGACTAAAGATTTTTTATAAACCCTTTCAAACACTGACATACATGTATTCCTTGTGGGATAGATGGAATCTTCTTTTCCTTTGGACTTAATCGAGAAATAATCCATTGATGATGGGTCTAAAGTTGGAAATGTGCTTACTTCACTACCAATTGAAGTTCAGAGGAGGATTATAAGATACGCACTTGACGTAATGATAGCTGTAGTACTCTTCATCAAAGACATTAAATTTTACCACAGGAAAAGCTTTGTTGATAATATTATGTAGTTCTGTCCCTCTACAATGTGGCTTGGAGTGTTTTGACAAAGATAGAGGTTGGCCCCTAGCTTGTGAGTCCCGAGGGGATACTACCAGAAGTACTTGTAGTATGTGTAGTTGGAATAGATAACAGCACACATTCTAATGACAATGACAATGAACTTCATTGCATATTCACACCCTACATGGGCCAAATGCACTAAGTTAGATAACTGAGGTACAAATATATGAGGAACTATAATTGTTTAACTACTGTGCTTGCCATCTGAACATGGCTGTGTTATTTCACTGTCATGCAAAAAACTGACTGGAACTGTCCCACTGCTGGTATGGCTGTGGCACAATGCATGGCATGGGCTCTAGTGGTGTGTAGAGAAGTAATAAATTGTCTCTGGAGTCGGCTCATAGCACGGACCTCCACACTCGACCTGCCCACCCCTACAAATCCATACCGTGTGTGGTCTCCTGGGGCATTAACAATACATGATGAAAGCTGGAGTATTCCATTAATTTCCCCCAACAGGTGGGATGGATATCCTGCCTGTACAGGGGGTAATAAAGGCACGATCAATATGTCAGCAGACTTCTTGTTTCATCTGTCATCTAAATCACAAGGCTTCAGAAGTGTTATTATTATGGTGGTATGCATTCTTAACACCAGGGAATAAACAAGATGATAATGCTCAAATGAAACTGACTTTGAAAGAGAAAAGAAAGAAACCGAACAGTGTACAATAAATAAGATATCTTCTATATTAGACTAAAATCATGCAACACTATCAGGTAGTTGCCATGGAAAGGAATATTCCTTCATAGGCTTTAAATCTGAAATTGAACCCAGTCAGGTGTGCATCACAAAACATGATACCAACTCACACTCCCTCCTAATACCAACATGAGCTGAATGTTCTGACAGTGATGTGTTATAGATGAGAGGTCAGGTGTTAGATGTACCATACGAGTTGTTACTAGATATTTTATTATGCGCATTATCAGTAACAGAACATGAAAAACTCGGTACATACATTTTGTACATCTACATACGTTATGGTTATTCCTCTAACAGTTTGGGGGAAGGCTCTCATGCATTGATAAACATCTTTTAGTCTTGTTATAACCTTTAGCAAAACATTGGTTCTTTAAACTTACTGGTATTCTTTGAAATCACTCATGTAGTCACTTCTGCATTGCTCCACATAGGTCCTTTTACATATTCCACTTGCACACCTGTAGAAACAGCATTACATTCAAACTTCACTGAGAAATATCAAGAAATCTAAGTACATGTAGCATTTAGCTAATGTTACAGTTTTTTAGAAGTACATGTAAAGTTTTCCTAACACAGTTGTTACAAATCTGAAGACATGAGTTAAGTATCAACTTGAAGGCTTGTTAACAACAAAAAATCACCACGAAAAAGTAATAATTCTGAAATCCCATGTCAGCTGTACATGTAGGGCCGTGTAAGGAGGATATGCACATCCTGGAAAGGTCAGGCTGCCTTACATGATTGAAGGAATATGATTAAGAGTTGACAACTTCCCCTGTCCCCAGACTTGTGATTAGATCCTTAGATGTGACCTTGTTGAGAATCGGGACTTAGTTTTGTCCATAAGAGGGGAGGGGCATGAGCCTCACTCTGTGGCAGGTGCGAGGCCGAGATATAATCAGACGGGAGTCGTTCCTGTAAATCACGGCACGATGACGCCATCGGGGGACTCGTTGCTCGGGTAATGGATGGGGAGACGGGACGGCGGGCAATTTGGTGGCAGCAAATACACCTGGTAGGCCCGCCGCCTTTGACCTTGGTGGGTCCGTGGGGAGCCGGAGTTCTGATAAAGCAGTTCCACTGCACAAAGCACAATTACTGCTACCGGTATCAAAGTGACAGGTAGATCCATTAACAAGCAAGGGAGCCATGCTAATAGGTGATTAATAACTGCAAGTCAAGGCACCAGGTTTCCGCGCAGTTCCCAAATCAAATTTGATCATACACAATATAATAATACATTTTTTCAGTTCCTCTGATTTGAGTTCAGCATAACTTTCATCATAGTCATGTAACATTACCAAGGGTAGTTTTTGACACAATCTTCCATACATAACATTACCCTTTACCGGTAGTATACATACAATGTACACCAAGTTGCAAAAATCATAATCTGTCAAAGATAGGTCAAAATGCATGCAAACTTACTGCATGTGTTTCTGCAATTTAGGAAAGATAGTAGTTGGTGGTACCTTGTGAAAACCCTACCCCACTTGAAAATTACCATTATCATATCATCACCATCCATATTCATGATAGCCTTGACTGACACCAGTTGAAGATATCATATCAGAAAAATATTCCCAGAAGGATTAATAAACATTCTTTGACCTTAACTTTACAAACCTCAGATGCGTCTGAAGGCCAAGGTACATGTAGGAGGTTGCTACAGTGGCAAGTACCCATTTCCAAGAAAACCATGTATTTTTGTTTCTAACTGTAATTTGAATTCTCAGTGAGTCGCTCGAAGCCAAGAAGAATGAAGGGTTTTCAAAACCATCTGGGAACAGTTGAGTATGTCTCGTACTCTTCCTCCCTACAAGCAATTTCGTATCTAAGTGAGACTTGATTGTCATTCAACGCACAAGTCTTGAGGCGGAAGAAGATACTACATAGAAGAGGCAGCATTAAACAGTCAGCAGCACTTAACCTGTAAGACTTGGGATTAGTTGGCAATGCCTCACTTAGGCTAGATCAATGATATAACCTGTTTATTCATCTCTTGGTAAAGTAATATGGCGTGATGCCAGATACAGGGAAAGGGCTGACATTTTGGGGGGTTTTAGATTGGTAGGAAGGAAACTAACATCTACTGTAGAGAGCATTTTATGTACTTGAAAATTGTTCTTCAAAACTGAATCATGTTAGGGCAGCAAAACTGGAAATATTCTGAATAAGGGAATCTGTATGATATTGACACATAATGCATCAGCATTTAATGCTTTGGGCACAGAAACAAGCCCCAAGATGAGTCCTGTATTTTCTGTGTGGTACCCCAAAAATCAGCCCAGGATCCTACCAGTAACCATTTCAAATCTAAATTTCCGGTATTTTTGCAAACACTCTCAAACACCACAGCTACTGTGACGTCATCAAATTACTAGCAATTCAGGAGACTTATGGCCTGTGTGTGACCTAATATAACCCCTGACCCTCCCTGCTCGGTGTGGGGTCTTGCCCTGGTGCTGAAAAATGGATTGTTCTTTCCTTTCCCTGTGTCTTGTTTTCTTTGCCACTTTGGCCAAACTAAAGCTGAAGATGGATTATCACTATTAGTTTCCAGTTCTGCTAGATGAAAAAGATAGAGTTGACAGTACTATGCTACCTGAAAATGTTACATGGCAAAGTCAAGCAAATACTTCCATCACCATTCTCGCGACTTTGTTGTTTATCCTCTATGTGTACTTGGTTCTGTGTCTCGCAAAGCACATAATTTAAATAGGTTGTTCAATGCAAACCAAGAATAAATGAGATTTTAGAAATACAGTACCAGCACTAGAATGATCATATTCTTTATTGTCAGGCAAATTAAAATCTTCAAAATGAACATTTTTGTTTCAATCATGGTGCCAGTATGCAACGTATCTATAAGAGCAAGATTGGCCTTACATAACATGGATATGCAAACCAATCATAACATGAAGTTGCAAGTTAATCTTATGAAAAGTAGATATGTAATACTGTTTTGAAATACAACACTAATTTTGCATTATGCTTTACTACATTCTCTATTAGACAACTGCTTCCATGACTCTAACAATGACATACATGTACACTAACTAATAAACTTACAGATTATAAACAATGATACTATAGAGCCAGACAAAGTTAATTTCTTGTTCAATGAATACCCTTAATTGTTTTACTTATTAAATGTGAAATAAAAATAGATAAAAAAATATACATAGCATGACTGTTCTATTAAAGACACAGACCTGGCATTTGGTATCCTTTTTATTCATGAGATACAGTGCCATTTTTTTTATGTTAGTTCAAAATCATAAAGATATTTCCTGATGTGTGTGGTGAATTTGTTGCAACAATGTGGCTTTAGTACTCTTAGCTCTGGAATTTCATAGTTCTATCTACATATAGCTCATATTATTTACAGTCATTAAATATGTATCTGCCGTCCAGTTAAATGAAATCTCCAAGTTAGAATGATGTTGTTGTTTTTGTTTTTCTGTTTTCCTGTTCATCATATGCCAAGATTTTAACCGAAAAACAGGGAAGCCAAAAACTTTCCTTGCCAATATCTGCTTGGAATTATTCAATGCACATCATTTTTTTAACACTCCAGAAATTATTGACTTGGAGCAATCCTTTGTTATTCTCCAAGTCAGAAATAATCTTGGATACTTCTATCTATTGGTCAGATGTTGTCAGCTGTCCACTTCTTGTCCGTGCCAGTTCTTGTGAATGGACCGGAGGTTGTCCGCAGCAGCTTGGCTGATGTTCAAGGCAGGAAACATCGGTTGGAGACCCTCTTCCCCGAGTAAGGACAAGCCGGCCACACCAAAGTATGAGTGTAGAGCATCTGAGAGAAAATCATTTTTTAGTTAGCTAACAGTTTAGGTATGAAGTGTCAATAACATTTATGAGACTGCCTCTTATGTCTTATTGATGATGTTTCCTTATCAATGTGTCAAAATAAAACAGTAAAATTTACAAAAGCTCTAAATATTTTTTTGGGCCTACAAGGCCTCCAAACTCCATTGTATAGTTGACTTATGGTGATTCTAAATAACCATTTCGGATGCCAAATTTCAGCGGTTACTTGTCCCCTATACAACATGACCCATACCTTATATTATAATCGTCCTCGCACAGAGACAGATCAAGGAAGCCACAAGTTATTTGCTATGTTTGATCCACTGCTCATGTGTCTGCACTGGTGTCATAAGGTCTAAATTTTTGTTTAAGCCCAATTCTTTGGCAATAGCAGTTTAGGTCCTTCAAAGCTCAGTCAGACAATGGGACATGGTAAGAATGTCTCACCAGGGTGGCTGTCCGGCCACTTGGCGAACCCCCCCACCACTGTGTCCTGAGTGGACAGGATGAAGTCCTTGTTGGCCGTGGGGTCAATCAGGGAGTAACAGTCCAGCAGCTGGGAGAAATATTAGAAATATCAGTACCTGTGAACATTCCTCCTTCTAAGTATTCATAGACATATGTTTGACAAGAGCACTGTCTCTATTTGGTCAACAATTCAATCTGATGACCATAGCAAATAAAGTTTAATGCTCTCTGAACTACAAAGATTTCATCTAGAAAGCAAATTTTTGCATGCACTTTGTCCCATATTTCAGTTTTTCTCAAGTTGTAACACATATGAATGAGGAATGGAACTGCACGTATGGAAAAGCATGTGTAAAGCGATGAACCAGAAAACAGCATACATGTACATTTGTATTTCTAATTATAACAGACTGCAAAAGAAATAACTCTCAGAAAGTACCTTTAACTATTGAGACTCAGTATACCATTAGAGATATACCTTTTCCAGAATGACCAGTCAGGTTACAGAATTATGTCTACCTCCTATGATTCACGACAAGTCCCTCCCGACATCTCACCTTTAGTGTCCCCCCCACCCAGAAGGAGTAGCATGTGTCGGTGGGTTTGTTGGGTCGTCCCTGAAAGCCTGACTGCTGGCGGAACAGACACCACCTCTTCAGCCCGTCCAGCTGTCTGTCGGAGAAGGTCTCCTGGACTCTGTTCATAAGGCACAGGGACGCCACCGCACAGAACGTGGAGCCACCTGGGGCATAGGTCAGGAGTAAGGCCCACTTTAGATACAGGTTTTGCAACAGCGGTACCGGCGACAGCAGTACTGGCCACAGTGCATGCTGTCAAATTTTCTGCCAAAAACTTCTGAGTTGTTGGCAGAAAATTTGATGACAGCAGGATTACGCTGTCTGGAAGTCTCTTTACACAGCATTCCCTCTTTTGCCAGTATCACTGTCACCAGTACTGCTGTCATGAAAATCTGTGCCTAAAGTGGGCCTTAGTCTGTGTGATGAGTGGTCGTGGGCTCAAACCCAGGCCGGGTCATACATCCTTACCTAAGACTTTTAGAAAATGGTACGTTCTGCTATAGTCTATGCTTGAATGATGATTTGCACTGCACTATACACTGATGGTCTGGGAGGGATTGTTTAGAGCTATTACAGTCTTTTTCTGAGTTTTTGAACATGGACCTCTCATGCCAGGAGGACCATTGTTGAAAATAATGAACTACCAGTACCAATGAGGCGGGAAAACCTAAAAATTGTGGTTATCAAAGAAATAATTGGCAAAAGAGAAGCAGAAATGATTTAAAATCCACATTAATTTTCATCTATTCCACAGTCCTTTTATTTCTAATCTTATTGAAGACATTCCCGACAATTCCACAGGATCGAGATGTAAGGTAAAATAAGTCACTGGAGATATATGGTGATGACTGAAGAATCAAAAGCATGCCTTGTAGACTTTAGACTGAATTTAGCATGCAGAAAGGTTACCCAATCTATCATGGGTGGCACGACACCCATCCACCTTACGCATCAGATAGAGCTTTTCACACGAGACATTTTCATGCATGTATGCACAGTTTAAGGGTAATTAATGATTGATGGGCATGTGAGGTATCATACAAACATGAACAACTTGTAAATTGTACCTACCATGAGTTTCAAGTCCAGGTCCCTGAGCCAACCCAAAATCATAACCCTAAAAAGATACACAACAAAGATGAAGAAACAGCTATAAAGAAGCAAATACTTCATGTAACATACATAAAGTCTACAGACTTGCCTTTCTGATAACCTACTCTTTACAATACCAGTAACATCAAGATAGATTTGCATCAAAATCACAAACTACAAGGCTCAAAAGATCCACCATAAAGAATTTTGAGACTGCAGAAAAAACATAAAAAACAAAGCAATTAGAAAAAACTAAAATAATACAGGTTTGTATTATGAATCACATGTTGCAAAAAATAGATCAAAAAGTATTTTGAGTTCTGAAAATTAAAACCTCAGAAGACGTCACAGGTCTGTGTGAATTTCCAAAGTCTCTACAAGAATTAGGTCTCTCTTAATCTATCTATTATTTTTTCAGTCTTTTAATTGTAAGGGTACCAGGTGGAATTAGGCATTAGCCCATTACAGACTTTAAACAGAACACTACAAAGATGAGCTCGATGAGGAAGTGTACATGTGACTGACCATGCTGTTTTTGATGTAGCTGACCGCCTTGTCCACATCCATACCACTCCAGTCGTCCAGGATGTAGCTGACACAGCAGGCACAGTACACAAACCTCATGTCATTCTCACCTCCCTCTACGGAAGGGTAGAAACTGCAGGGACCAAAAACAAGAGTTTGTGCTCGTTTGCACTTGTAGAGAGATCTGGTGTAGAGAAGTGTTGAATCATACCTTGTAGTGTAGAGGTATTGAATGAATTGTAATGAATTGTAAGAAATGCTCTTTGTCTCATATGTCCCAGATAAGGCCAAAATGGTATGTGCGTGCACGTGTTGCAAGTAACCAGTCATCATCATCATCATTAACACAGCATCAGCACTGCATCAACACTACTCATCAAGCTGGTATTCAGTAAAACAAACAGGAAAACTTCACGACCTGAAAATACTACTTTGGTACTAAAAAGTTCACAGCATGACTTCATACCTAACTTTTATTCACAGTTTAATGGTATCAATAACTGGCCATCTAGAAGTATTATAGACCATTGCATTACGTTAGGGTTCAGTGCTTTGATAACGGTCGCAACAAAACTTTAAGAGATGATTATACATGTAGACATACCATATGAATACTGGTATATAACCTTGGAAAAAGGGAATATCAATCTCTATGGTATCTTTCCTAATTCTGATTAGCACAACTTTATGTGCGTGCAACATCAAACCATACCACTACCCACGCATGTACTAATTAGCACACAAAACTCCTCGCCCCTCTATCTCTGACAACAAAACAAATTGAGAACGGTCGGTGGGAGGCACAGACCATGCCGTCTTCATCACCTACATCATTGAGTCTTAATCACGCCACTTCAACCTGTTGTAAAGGCCGGGCAGGGCCGTAATTCCTCCCATTTGTGTCCAGACTATTTTGGTAATCCAGGTATGGGGCGAGGCAGTCAGACGTGTAATGATTTTCTTTCCACCAAACAAGAGACTTTTTGTGAGGGAAAACTTTTACTCATAACACTTCTCACTGATGAAAGAAATGGATGAATCTTTGTTATGTTAGATGCTGTTGTGTACCTTGTAATTCTATATTAAATGTGCAAATAAACTTGTTAGCAGGCTTTGCAATGTGGAAATTCTAGTCAAATCTTGAAGTCAAGAACTAAAAAGTTGCTCTATTTTTTAGATAATTCTTGAGATGATGATCAATTGGAGAAAACCCTGCACTATTTTGACTATTAATGATGTCCTGACAGACCACTTGACTCTGCCCTGCCTTCCCAATTGAAATGTGATTACTCCAGTACTGGGTAGTTGATTCACCATCTGTGCCTGACCAAAGATTAATGAAGTCTTTAATACTTCCCAAAGCCTTACAGAAGGTGATGACAGTCCCTGAGATACTGTAAATCACTTTATGTATGCTGTAACAAAAGTTCGCAGTCTGAGAGAAATGTTCGCAGAACTATTATATTCGCAGTGGCAGCAGGTGCAGCAAACAGAAAGTTGGCGAGTTAATTGTTCACAATAATGATAAGTTTGCAGTACAGAAGTGACCGTGAAAACCATGAGTATAAAAGTTTAGCGAAAAAATTGTGATTGTACTTTAAATCTTCAATTTTGCGATCTTAAGTTTGATCTCCGTCTTCCATTATGTTACTAGTACGGTTGTTTCAAACACAAACTCGAAGACATCACAAACCCTTGATTTTCACTGCGCCGCGAAGTCTAACTGCTGCAAACTTTTGAAAACTCAACTTACAATAACTTTTTGGTACATTGCTTGACTTCCAGCACATACTCACACAAACACCTGTACATTGTACTGTAATGCACCTACTTGTTGGGTCAATTTCCCTCTTAATTTGTGGTTAAATCTGCTGATCAAGAGGGCGATGTGAAGAAATTAGTTGAATTATTTCTTTGAGTGGTTCGGAGTTGGGTGGTGGGCCTTTTGCCAAAAACTGGCAAATGGGGAAATGACCGGTTTTCAAGAATTGGGAAAAAAAACTCTCACAGATAAGAGTAGATGTAGATCATGCGTTGATATCATCACGAGTATCATCAAGAAGCGAGGAACGTGTGACCTTTTGCTACTGGAGGCGACCTGATCTCCGTAGACTTCACTCTCACAGCAATCATTCTGAAACACCACTTTCATCACCACGGCAATTATCGCCATGGAAACACGAATAGATGATTGATGGCGAATCCAACCTTTTCATAGTAAGAGTGGTATTTAGAGACTGATTGAACATCACTTATTAATCATGGAATATTTCAGGTGTTCGATGTTAGAGTAGCTATATTTTGGGCAACAACTTTCTGAATGATGTCAGGGGCTAGTGTCATTCATTAGAAATTGATTATAAATCTAGGCTTGATGAAATGTTCAATGCAATTGATACGCATAGATAACTAGTTTATTTGCTGTGTGTGTGTTTTTATGTGCATATCAGTGTGCAGGTGTGTGTTTGGGTGTCTGTGTGTATCTGAGTGAGTGTATGTGTATTCATGTGCATGTGTGTATTTATGTGTGTGTGTTTGCATGTGTCAATGTGTATGTCTATTCATGTGTGTGTGTATGTATGTATGTATGTATGTATGTACATGTATGTGTCTGTGTGTGTGTGTTTCCATGTGTTTCTGTGTGTGTGTTTGTGTGAGTGTGCGTGCATGCACGTGTGCGCGTGTGTGCACAATGTGTAACTGTGTATGTGTAAAAACAAGAAAAAAAAACATTACAAGTTGAATTCCTTGGGGTGAAATCATGAAAGTTCTTAGTAACAAAAGGAAACTTTACAATGATATGATTCCATATCTCCAAATTGCATACATGTACAAACATTTCTCACAATGGCTGACCCCAATGTTCTGTTTACATGTGTATGCCTTAAAGTTTTTGAAAGCAAACATGCCAAACACTTCTCTGTCCATGTAAGTGAGTGGATTACTGGTTCTCCACACCTACATTTTACTGGTTTAATCCAGCCAATTTGCTGCCATTTCCCTGTCCCCTCATCACTAGTTAAATTGGTTTCCCACCATTCCACTGGAACCCAGTATGACCTTTGGCCACGAGTACATGATCAAAACTCAACCAACCAACTAAAGAGGCAATATGTTCCTCAAATGGCACTTTATAACCCGAGTGATGGCCAATTGATAGCGAACGTCTGCCCTACGAGCGTTTAATAATGCGCTCGGACTTTACAGCAGCCCACTCAATAAAGCAGAATGGGATGTCGGAGATTGGGGCGACCTTTGTGACACGGAGACCGCGGGATTTCGTGTTCGCTATCACGGGTGATGAAGTGGTACTTATTGGTCCATTGGTATGAGGGGAAGGTCTGTAGAGGTGATCATCAGTGGATGTCCATGTGTTTAACATAAGGTATTCACATTAGGACTATAGGAGAAATGAGTATGGGGCTGGGATACGTGCCAAGTTTAACGTAGTATTCTTTTAAGAATACTACTAGAAATGATTAAAATCATTTCTAGTAGTACAAGTGTTTATTCCTTCTTCAGTGTGATACAAGTACATGTACTACGAACAACCAATTTTTCAATAAATCAAAATTTGAATGTTTAGAGTCTCATAACACAAAGAAATGAGAACATGTACTTGATTTATTTATTCCTAAGAAAAGATACAAGACCTACAAATGTACTAATATCTAATAATAGAATAACTAGGAAAAAAGTTTTAGCGAAACATTCAGGTTTGAAATGATAGCCCTAAAGTGGTTTACCTTCCATCTGCCAGCTGTAGTGACTGCAGCCCTTTGACACAAGTTCTCCTGTTCACTCTGGACAGATCGTCTCCAAGCAACAGCAAGGAGCACAGACCTGTGTACGTCATCGCTATGTGGCCACTGTCGTAGGGATATGCTGATACTTCTTCCTGTATGCAGATGGGGAAAATGTGTAAATACACACAAAAGTAAGATAGTGTTGTGTTATGTGATAAGTTATTACTGTTATACATTTTGTGATTTTTCATGCAAATGCATGTACCGTAGTTGATATCATATTATTTTCTAGCACGCTGTTTCTGACAGGGAGTAAATGATCCCTTTTTTAAAAAGTGCCCAAGAATGTATTTCTTGAACACTGTCATGAACTGTGGAATTAAACACTTCAATCAAAACAAATGAAAAGAACGTTGATTAACGGTAAGTAGTAGTAGATTAACGCTCCATTAAAATCACTGATTGGATAATCACCAGGTTGGTGATCCAGAAGGGGTTTTTGCAGAGTTTATGATTTATTTTCAGTTATCAAACTGAATTCCAATGAAGAAAGCACATCCTACACCGCGGCTATCACAGAGAGATAAGTCTGAAAGGGAATTGACTCTCAACTGCGCCGAGCAGAAGCCCTTGTGTACAATCCAAGGTCATCAACGGTCGCCGGGTTCACGAGTCCGTCTACCCTCAAAGACCATCAATTTTACAGGAAGCTGGTTTTCAATTTGACAGCTTTGTTGTGGCTGTACATTCCACTAGCTTTGGTATAGCCTCGGGCAACTATAGGGAATATTCTACTTATGATAAAAGAAGCAAAACAAATGTAAAAGGTGGATGCACTACCTTAATGTCAGAGTTAGGTGGACTAAAGTTCTGCATAATATTCTATTGCCTGACTATCAGCTATGAAGAGATAAGTGTTGTACTACTGTCAGTTGAAAGTTGACATGTTGTTCATTACTGAGCACTCTGCCATGTACAAATCTTGCTTCAAATTATCTTTATCTTTAATAAGTTACATGTCTGACAATCAAAAAACTAAGAAGAGCAGTAAGTGTCGTACTAAATGAATAGTTGAATTTCCAGTAACTTTTCAACATTAGTTCAGAAATTAGTCTCCTGTTCAGAAAGTTTTCTTGTGCAAACACCCAGGCAGCGTCCTCGTAATGTACTCTTGTTTTAATCACTTCACAGAAGGCTTATAAATCAAATGTCTGGAACGGACGCTTGACATCAATTAAACCCTAACCCAGCCCGTAGACTGGTTCAATCCTGGTGTACGGTGACACCAATTACGGTGTGTGACCCCGTGTTCCTCCCGCCGTGACCCCACGCGTTAACCCCCCCTCTCACGTGGGCTGTCAGGGATGCCTGACGACCCCCCTGGAACTCACAGGTAAATCATTGTTAATGTGATAATCCTATGCACCATAAACCTGCAGCTAAATTTGTGCAGAGTGACTGACAGCAGCGGGGGACCAATCAGCCATTTGCCGGTTCCCTGGAGACAGGTCCGACTCACGCGAGGTCCGAGCAGGACGTTGTATGTAATATTTATGACAGGAAATCATACATTAGTGTCCTCCAGTATTGTCCTTCTTACAGGTCAGACATACATGTAAAAATCATGTTTTAAGTTATGCAGAAATCTGAAGAAATGTATACATTTGTATCTTTACATTGTACAATGTGTTTTGTTATTACCTAGTACCTACATTACCTCACTTCATCTATGCTCTGAAATGACAAAATATAGCATTCCTGAAGTTCAAAACTGATGACACCATGATTTGATCATGAACTGATTGAGAAATCAAGTACATGTACATACATACTACTCTTCATCCTAACTAGAAAACCACATTGTCATTGTCATTCATTGCAATATTTAGTTTACAACAAACATAAACTCTCATGTTCTAAAAGAATGTACAATGTAATACTACATGTATTTGTTTCATCCAGAACAGAAGGTTACAACTTTGTGAAAATACATCAGCACAGATCTTCACAGATATGAATATGTCCACATGAATATTAGTGTGTACACGGGGATATGAACATGCTTATAAATACAGTTAATCATTTTGGCCAGATTACATATACTAGTATACAGATTTGCCTTTTAGATGAAAATCTGTCTAACTCATAGATTCAATACCTAGTACAGTACTGTATTTAAGTATGGTAACTGCAGTCTGCCTAACTAGTTAGGCTTCATGATAAAGTCTGTAATCAACAATACCATATCGAACTGTAACAGGCATGACCTCTGACAAATTGCCAATGAGACAATAGCCGATGGTAAGAAGCTAATAGAACAAGAAACCAGACATTTCATACTCTCTGTTAAACAGTTTTTGTAAATTTCTTGTTTTATTCATTATCCTGAAAATTTCTGTTTAGGTCTATGTATTTTCCCACTGTCTGGCATCATGATTTCCTCTTATTTTCTCAAAATTCTCCTTTAAGGAATAAAAAACATTCTGCTATTGTTAGCCCAGCCAATTAAAACATTTAGTACAAAAAGCAGACATCCTTACTGCAATTATTGTACAACCTGCTAGATGGCGCTGGGAAGAAGGGAGGAGAGGAGACAAACCTTTGATGGGTTGTATGGTACTCCTATTGTTGAAGAGCCACGAAAACCACATCTGAACAGATTTTTGTCTGGAAAAGATAACAATAGACGAGAGGTAGGACAAAAATGAAAAGCGAAGATGATACCATGATTGAATGCATTATAATTTTACTGTTGGCTGTCATATCTGTTTGCTAAAATTTGCACTCATGACTATACTAGTATTTCTTGGATAAATGGTATGATGGATATAGTTGAATCTGGAAGTTGTCTGTTGTATTCGTACCAGTATATCTGATGACATATACAGTTGCATAATCACGACATTAGTGAAATACTAGACTGTTTGTGTATAACGTTATATGCAAATCTATGGGTCTGGTTCTTCCAGGTTCAACCATTGTCCAACCAGCCGAGTACTAGTAGCTGTGACGTCACATGCACTCTACATTTTCCACAGGTTACATAAATGTGAAGTTGTGATACCTTCATCGTCTTTGTCAGGCAGCACTTGTAGTGAGTAGATCCAGTCTATGATCTCTTGTTTATTAACAGTGTCCAAGGCTCCAAGAAGGTCCAGACCAGATAGGGCAAAAAAGCCACCGTCAACCTGTGAGGGAAACATTTTAAGAAGTGGTAATATATTTGGAAGGCAATCATACACACATATTGGTGTATTTTTAAGCTACAGTTTACTTTAAAGATCATCATTTTTTGTGCAGTGCTTGACCAGGATCCTCTAGAAGAGTGATTTGCCCAAGAAAATAATAGAATACAATAATAGGTAGCATGTGTGTGTGTGGTCTGAAAGCCACATGTAAGAAGAAGCTGTAATTTAATGGATTTTTGGTATGTGGGTAGGTGCCAACAAAACGAAGAACAAGTTCTATCATCATCATGGGCTTCCTAGTGGCTTTCTATGGTATTGCAGCAGAACTTCCGCTTTTGGTACGTCGTGTTCTGACAATGATACGGTCACGATTTTCTGGTGGTAGGCAGCTTTTGGGCATAATTTGGGAATAATTTGTACAGGTTCAGACACTCTAGCAGATTTCCTTGGTCCTTTTAAACATGATAACTCCAGAAGGGATGGCCCTGGTTTTGATTGAAGAGTAACTTTACAAAAAAAAATTGTACATTTGCATTAATTTTTAGTTTTTTTCTTTTTCATATTATGGCAGAGCCCAAATTAGGAAAATGCACAGTTGTATGATTTTCAAACTGTTTCTCCTAGACCGAAGGGTGTGTGCTCGGGTGTGCTCAAGTACAGTGTCATCATCAATCTTATGCTGAGGTTGAGGGATGAGGGTAAAATATTTTCAAAGGGTGGGAAAGGCCTGGGGGAAGGGGTGCTTTGCTACTTGCTTTTTTTGCTATTCTACATATCAAAGTTCAAATACAAAAAAAACACGTACGACACATGAACAGCATAATTTTGAAAGTCATGATCATGATCGATCTCTGTGTCACAAATTATGTGTGAAATATTTTTATCACTGACCAAGTCTTGCAGAAACTTAGGAAAATAGCAAATATAATGGCCAAATCTACATAAAATAGTTGATGCCACACCTACCTTGTCGTATCCAGAGAGCAATACCTTGAAGGGAGAACTTGTAGACATCGCTGGAAGAATTTGACATGTTTTTCTTTTACAAATTCGTTCTGAGATCCAGAATTACTAACCATGGCGGCCATCTTGGCTTTGATGACAGTAACAGAAGTAAACTATTTGTCAACAGCACATATGGCTAACATTTATACAAGGGAAAATTGCTACAGGAACCCTGTTTTGTCTCTTTTTATAGAAAAAACTGACTTGATGCGTGATTTATTCCACAAAGTTTGCTGTAATTATATTCAAATAAATACCTTGATCTGAAGTATGATATGCATCAAGCCGAATGTAGACCCAAATAGCGCGCTATTTAACTGTTACCGAAGAAAATGGCTTCCGGTCGATGACATCTGTACTTTTGTTGTCTCCAAACTTTTCCCTGTATTTTGCTTTTCTAACACCTTCTTTTCACCCCATATTCTACTTCTGACAGGTTGGTATGCTCCGGGGGTGATCTAAATCTAGTGTTGTGGGATAAAGGTTTGCAGTTGATGTATGTGTCGAGCGTATTTTGGGGGGCATCTTTGCGATAACAGCAGGCCGTTGAAAAAATATGTCCAGCGTAATTATGCGTAAACACGATTGGCTTGGACAGCTGTTAACGTTTTGAAAAAAGGTTAAAACGTGTTGAATATTACAGAGTTATAGTAGCGCTGATGTTGTCATCAGAAACTTATTGCTATGTGAAAATGTTGACTTGATAATGCGAGTGACGAACGTATGAACTTCCCAGGTTCAGAGGTTGATATTTTTTGTGATATTTGCATATTGATGCTATTTTATCTACATTACATGCAGTGTGAATGTTGAGCCTTAACTTAGAAATACATGATAGCTAGATATGCAAGAACACTTTCAACAACCAAGGAGGTTATTTTAACCTACTCTTTTGTAAAGGACTATAATTCAGATGTAAATTTTTCATTTCTTGAATAAAACAATACTAAATGATAAGTAAATCGTGAAAACTTATTTTACAGAGTGCAACCCTAAATACCACTAGGATGCCTAAACAGAAGGCAAGACGCAGACAGACGGCCGTCAGGAAGAGACGCCTGTCACCGAAGGAAAACGCAGCTCGCTATACCTCCATCCAGGAGGCTATTGGCTTGGGTGATCACAGGTGATTATCAAATTCAAAGAGAGTTAGAATGCACACTATGCACAGACATGCACAAGTCTTTTTTAGTTCCTTACAATTAGAACAGAAATATACGCACTTACTGAAAAGAGAATTATTCAAACATACTCTATGTCATCCAGTCTCCAGGAACTATGATGTACATGAAAAACTATGTAGATTTGTTCATGCTTGTTTCAGGAAGACAGAAGAGATCTTGTAGATAGACGTAGCACAGTAATGTAGCTCTTGTTCCAAGAAATCTTACAATTATACTTATAGTATACTGAAGTCTGTTGTAGATGTCTGTAACACCTTCTATGTTCCCGATATGAAGGCTTGTGCAAGACCTGCTGCAGGATGGAGTTGATCCTAACTACTTCCTGCAGAGTGGGTTTTCCCTGCTCCACCTGGCTGTGGCTGTCAACAGGGAGAGGTGTGTCAGGATGCTGCTGGAACATGGAGGTACACGTGTGCAGTTGTTTCTTGTTTGTATTGACAAAACTACTACTAGTAAACTGCCTCAAGCATCACATGCCAGTTTTGTATCATATGTAGTAAGTACAAGATGTGTAAGACAAGACTGATTGGTTTAATCCACTCACACCTACTACATGTAACAAATAACAATGAGTCTGGTGGATTCTTTAGTGTTCTCAAGGTGTACTTCTCTACTTACTACCTTGGTGCTTAACAGCTCAAGGTGTGGCTCCTCTCAAACATGGAACCTCTGGCTTCATGTCCCATCCGAAGGATGGTAACCCTGTCCAGTAGCATACAAGTGGGGAAGAGCGACACTAGTCGCTCAACCTCCATGTCTTCAAGTGACATGGTCAACCCTAGACCAAGCATGCTACTGTTTGTTTGTTTGAACCATTCCAAGCTGAAATCAGCATGCAAGCAGCTTTTTATTGAGGTAATGATAGAAGAGGTAAGGGTCAGACAAAATAAATGATGATTTTTTCCCGTCAAACCGTATTAATTTGTATCCATATAGCTTTGTGAAACTTGTCCCTGACTTACAGTGTCATTCGTCCTTGTTTAGCACACCCACATGTCGGGGACAGAAACCGTGGTTACACCCCGCTACACATCGCGGCTACCTGCGGACAGATCCGTATTGCTCGCCTGATCCTCGGCCATGAGAACTGTTATCAGATTGCCAATGCCACCAGCGACCGTGGACTTACCCCATTACACGTCGCCACTGCCACAAACAAGAACTCTATACAGATGATCACATTACTGGTGGAAGGGGGTGCGGAAGTGAACGCTGCAACAGTTAACGGCGACACCCCTCTGTCTCTTGTGGTACGGTCTGAAAGAGACGGGTCTGTGCGAAGCAGCTGTTGGAGAAGGGTGCGGACGTCGATGCACAGCAGGGCTTCCCACTCTGTTTCGCTGTGTTGAACAATGACAATGACCTTGTGAGACTCCTCCTGGTTCATGGCGCCAATGTGAACTTCCGAGGGATCAGCCACGGACACACGCCGCTGCACCTCTCTGTCGTGGTGGACAATCTCCGAGCAACACAGTTGTTGTACGAGTTCGGGGCTGAGCCATACTGTTTGAACCAGAGTGGGAAGAGCGCTCTGCAACTGGCTGAACTTTGCAGCAGGGTTGCCAGGGACAACCATCCATGTTACACTTTTCTACAAGAGAGAAGTAGTAAGAACCTTTATTTATCAAAGCTAATTATCTACAATAGGTCGGTGTGTACATATTACTAGACTAGTGTATTACGCTCTGCATAGCTGTCAGAATGATGTCAAAGTTTCTCAAACCTTCATCTACTAGTATGGGTCAGACTGTGCTGTAGACACATGATTTTTTCCCACGCGTGATGTCAGCACCAAGTCTGATTTCTTTGAGTTTAAGAATAGTTTAATTTTCCACTATTTAAAATCACCAACTCAGATAAACTTTCATGATAAGTGTTGGAGATATTGGGGTAGAAAACTGTAATGTTTTCTCACTGGCTGGGCTATCTGGGAATGGCTTTATTTGCAATACAAAAAGTGGAAATAATTTTGAATTTCTGATACAGTGTACGTGTATACTCCTTTTTTTAAAATAATATCTTGTGTATCATTTCACATCTTACAGGATCGCCACGGACTTTGCAGGAAATTTGCCGGCTGTATATCAGGAGGATTCTGGGCAAGTGGAGACTCCAACACATCAACGATCTTCCACTCACCAAAGTCATGATTCAGTTCCTCAATCACGAATAGGCTACCTTAGAATAAAGTGCTACTTCTGTCTTGTACGTAGGTCAGGTCTCTGGTAGCCTCCCTTTTTTGGCAATGCCTCTGGAGTGGAGCCTGTTCTCACTTAGACCACTATGTGAAGGGGATAGACTGGGAAGTATCAGGTATTCATTTCTTACCATCCAGGACTTCTAGCACATAAAGAAACACACTGGAGATTGCCTGGATATCTGAGAAGTGTTATGTATATTGTACTTGTTGTAGTTTGAATAAAAACTACATGGCTGTTTTTATGATTTCACCAGCCTGTTTCCTTTCCAGAAGTGTTATCTCCAGCTAAATGTTGGGAGCCAAAATCATTACATTTTTCTAGCTCCTGTTTCTGCCTTTCTTACATCTGCAGAAATGAAGGCAGTTTATATCAGAAACAGGGAACTGGGAAAAAGTATAACAGTTTTGCCTTCCAGCATCTGCTTGAAGGTTATGAACCCAGGAAATTACTTTTTGTTTGCCTACATGTCAGAGGTGGAATCAGGAGTAAAGCTATCTTTACTTTTCATGCCAAGGCATCAGATCAAATGTGGAAATGAAAAATCAAGATTTAAAGAGAGGGGTATTATTTTTCATATTATTCCTGTATTATGTATGATGTTATTGATGATTATACAAAAGTATATGGATGTTAACTTCATTGTATTAAATACATGTATGGTGCAGGATTTCTTTAAGTCATTAGAAACAGATTGGCAATAAATTTTATATGTAAGGTATATTGTATGTACAGGATATTACATATTTCCTTTTATGTCATACCTGGGCCGCGATTACGTTCGATACGGGTGTTCCGGCCCGTGCGATAACTAGCTGTACGGCCCGAGGGTTCTTAACGCGTACGGCCCAGGGGTTCCAAATGTTCCATAGAACAATTCGAACGCGTTTCGCCCCAACCGCTTGCACTTGGTAGTATCTGTCATATTTCTGCTCATCTTGATTGGCTAAGTTTGAAATACCATTTCCATGTAAAGAAAAATTGTTAAATTATTGCTGGATAACATCTGTCAAATATGACTATTTTTGTGGGTACCTGTAGCAATGGTGTTAGATGTTTAAACATTCAAACACCTACAGAGCAAAGATGAATATACAATAATATACAATCATAGATAACGTTTGAAAAGTAGTCCAACATGTCCAATTTTGCAATGTTACTTTTTCCATGACAACTAAAGCTGGCTTTAATACTATCCTGGATCCTCCAAAAAGAAACATCAGTCCACTACTGGACATTCCTGTACAGGTCTGTTGCTAGTTTTCTTCAGTCACCCAAGAGAAATATGACTTCTAAGTGAAAATGCATGTATAAAGATAAATTCGAGTGACATGAAACACCATCGTACTGTACACCTAAATTCACTACATTCTCCAACTTTACCGTTTTTTGGTGTGTGTCCACAGCTTAACTAAGCTGGATGTATGAAGGACTTGCCTTAGTTTTAGAAACTTGTCTTCCATTCTTCAGCTGTCCATCATCATACATTTGCACGTTTCTTTCATATGCTTGGTTGTTACTCACTATATATCTTGTTCGTCAAATTCTTTCCAGAGTAAACCAATTTTATAAAACATTCTGGAATTGAGCCAGACCCCAAACTGAATTGTACTGTGTATGATTGAAGTTTTTTTTTCCAGCAGTACATATTTTTTTGTGATGAAAGGTATTATGCTTGTATCAACATTATTACCAGTTTATGCTTTCCAACATTTTGAACATTATTTCCAGTTTGTTTTTAGGCATTTTTAGTTTGTTTGCATAGTTGCTCACACTTACATTTGAGCAACAATGGAGCAAGTGTCACTAATGTTACCATAACTCCTATATGATTTAAAACATTTTGAAGACGACAGTTTACTAAAATACTGATACTTGGTCTGTAAAAGCCACAATATTGTAAGGTATGCCCAAGTTTGTGAGCTTTTCCATTGTGTTAGACCTATGGGCCTTTTGTTACTATTGAGTTTCTGTTCTGTTCAAGTTCCATGGAGGTGACATATACCGTGTTGAAAATGCTGAACTGAGGGGCAATACTTCTTAGGACTAGAAATTGTCTATGCAGAATGAATGTTGAAAAGTTATATGGCATTCACTGCATTTTCAGTCATTTTTGTTCACAATTGATTTGCACTATTTTTGTTACAGAAGGGTGAAAAAATTCATGTCTAAATAAGGTTATCACCTCAAATAAAACTATGTGCATTCATAAGAGCTTGCTGTTGCTTCCATTTCTATATATTGGTGCATGTACCTTTGTGCATAATTCTATGTATTGAGGATGACAATGCAACAACACATTGAAAGAGACAAGATTCACATTCACCATTATATATTGATGTAATGGATTGACAGAAAACAGTTATGAAACAATAGAACAGAATAAGTAAGGAAGAACTCATTTGTACACTCTTAAATACAGTCAAGGCAAGGTTTTAATATACTAGTAATCAGCTGCCATCATTTTGCCAACAAGCTCACAAAAGTTCATACAGTATTCAAATTGCATTTTTGTTAGTATTCAACTTAATGTTTTCAAACACTGTTTTATTGTTTCATTCAACAAAATACAGGTATACTGTTTTGGAGAGTGCTGAACAATAATAGTAGTACAATGTAGTCTATCAATTTCATGTATAATGTAGTCTATCAATTTCATATGCATTTTACCCCACCCTAAAAATACATGTACATGTACTTTGTATCACATACAAAAGGGGTGACCACAAATCTGAAATACATCTGAGAGCATATCGTATTGCCATAGTTCATGACTAAGTGCACTTACATTGTGATGCAATTAACATTTGACCAATCACATTTCTTCACATTTTGTTCTGAACCAACTGCTTGTCACTCAAAATTCTGACTCAGGCAAAGAGGGTTACTCACTCACCATAAGAAATAATCTTGTTGTTTAATGCTGGCTATGTAATATATATTAGAGATTTTGTACAGTCAACTCAAAGAAACAGTTCATAGAACAAAAATATCTTATGGTAAAAGTTATATCATAGAGGGAATGTATATTTACCTAGCAGAATTTTCTAGGCAAAAGTTAGTTCCAGACATAAATTCATGCCTTAAGGTAAATATATCTCCAATATTTCCCAATATCATTAATACTGTACACAAAACAAAGTCATGAATATTTTATTCATGTTCTTAGAAAGTGATGTACAAACATTTCTCTTTTGGAGTATTCTTTAGTGTACTTGTCAAAAATGGCAAAAGGCACATGACCTCATATATACAATCCTTGTTAACTAAAGAAGGGGTTATCCTTGTTCAAATGCTTCTAAAAGGCACAGCATATGGAACAATCTTTCAAGTGAAACATAGCATTGTAGCCAGAAAGGAATTTAAAATGTTTCCATTTCCATCTTGTATTGTATTTTATTTCATTTTCTGGTACTGGTAATACAAATGTATCCATAGCTGATGTTGATTCACCTTTTAACATCTACATTGTACTTTCTCAGGGCTGAAAAATTCATGGTGATATTCCAGAAAAGTTAAGGCAACAACAACAGCAGCATTAGCTTACGGTAATTCATATATTATAATGGGGTAACAAATGAACCTATAAAATAGAGTATCCCAAGTCTGTGCAATGTAGAAATATACCCTAAGTCTTGATGTTTGGAAGTAAACTTAGCTGTCATACTAGATAGCTTACCTTTATCCTAGCCCTGATGCGTATAAATAGCTACACTATCTCTCAAAATACATACTTGTAATGCTCTTTATCAGAACTAGAATTTGGTACTAAACAGACAGTGAGTAAACTGCGCAGTTAGACTAGAGCCAGGAGGGTTGAAATGGTACATCCATGACGAGTGGTCAGTGTTTGTGTTTGAGATAGTTGAGCATGACCCTGGTGATGTCCAGTTCGTCCAGTCTGTGGAGCCGCTTGTGTCCGACCTGTGACCTGACCGTCAGTCTGCACAGGTCCTGGAGACTCCTGGCTTTATCTGCAGTGTTGGGATAAACGTAGGATTAAGGGAGATTAATGCCATACCTTGTGCTGATCAAATCAGTGATGTCCAGAAAATTAGCTGTCAATCAATTTGGTAATGGGGATTACCTCAAGTTACAAAAGCATAATGCTTCACCCCAACTTAGGATAACAAAGAAAAGCTGTCAAGAGGGTACAACTCTGCAAAAAAATCTTTAGAGAGTGTGTAGTTTTAATCTTCTCTACCATTCCCCTAACAGTCAATTCAACAGTTTTTATACTTTGTTTTCTAATAATACTGTGTTTACAGACGTGTATATGAAACAATTGAAATTCAAAAGGTTTCATTTTAAAGCTCCTCCTAAAAAAATCTAGATGCATGACCACAAGCATACTTACTACGTAACATCTCGGAGAAACTGCACACACTGTGTGTCCCAATCAGCCACACTCCTGGCCACCTCCAGGGGTGTTTCCTCACTCTGGTTCTTGGCATTACAGTCTGCTCCATACTCCCAGAGTCTTGTGGCTAAAACCACATTGTTTTGCATAGCTGCCAAATGTAATGGCGTCTGTCCCGTCTTTGGGCCCCCGTAGTTACACTGGGCTCCATTCTGCAGTAGTATTCTCAGAAGTTTGTGATCATTGTTTGCTACTGCATACCTGATGGGCAGTCCCATCTCCAGGTCCACGTTTGCGCCCCATTCCACCAACGTCTTTATACAGGAATATCTGCGGAACTTTATTGCCATGAGGAGTGGGGTAAAACCAAAGTCTGTCACAGGGTCGATGGTCGCTCCTGACTCAAGCAGAAGGCGCATGAACTGAAGGGCACACTCTTCTTTCCCGCAGGCGGCCACGATGTGCAGGGGGGTCAGCCCGTCCCGTCCCCTCGCGTTCACCACGCGCTCCGAATCGTCGTACTGCAGGATGACCTGAGCGATACGAGTCAGAACGTACTTGGCGGCAAAGTGTAGCGGCGTGTACCCGCCAGTGTAGTCCTTAACATAGGCGCAGGCTTTTGAATGGGAGAAAAAAACGTCACTAGTTAGTACATGTACAATGCACTTCCCGATGAAACACAGAATTCATCATGAATCATACTTTATTTACTAGTACATTGTACTACTGTAAATTTAACATTAGTTCTAAAACATGAGGACATAGAAATATGTTATTGATACTGATACAAAGTGAGAAGTAGCTTCTCTCGTTCACAGTTACAAATTGGTCCGTAAAATTTCATTAACTCTTAGGTTCTTTCTCATTATCTTCTTCATGCTGTGCTCCTCCCTTTTTTTCAGTACAAGACCCTTGCAGGTCGGTACCAAATAACACTTGTATGTTCGTATTTAGAGAATATTCTCACCACCATGTTCCAGCAGCAGTCGGACACATCTGAGCTGACTGTTGACCACGGCTCCATGCAGGAGAGAGAACCCGTACACGCAGCGCTGGTTCACGCTCAGACCCTTCTGCAGCAGCGACCGAACCGGCGCGATCTTCCCTCCCCGCACCGCCTCCTGAAGCTTCAGGGCATCCTGGGAACACGTGGCATGCTTGCCGCTCTTCCTGGGCCTCAACTTGGGCATGGCTGGGTCACTCTTCTCTTTCAGAACTGATCCTAAGGCTACAGAGATGATGACAATGTTTGTTCCAAAAGTACACACCTATTAATCAAAGCATTTAAAAGGGGTAACGTAACAATGTCACTATGCAGTAAACGTTCTATACAATAATTTACATCTGATGATCGTTCAAGGTCAATAATAGACAAAAAATTCAGTTCATCTGGTTGAGAACTATGGCTGAGAATGAATTTGTAAGAAAACCCTTACCAACACTACTTAAGAAATGACTTGTTTCATGATTGGAACAACGTGCTCTTAGATCATATAGAAAACTGAACTATAGCCATGCTGATAACTATACAAAAAACGTTTTTGAGTGGCATAGTGACAAATGCATTTTTTTAAAAGCTTCAGTTAGTTCGCACAACTGACTGACATCTATCTAAAAAGTTATGATATAAATCGCCAGAAAGAAGTACCATTCGGACGAGTAATTCTATCATGACGTTGTACAGAAAACTCTTCATAGATCACCGTGTTGAACCAAGGCTCAACTGATGATTTGAAGTTTCTATTTTTGCCACAAGTTTTAGTCACAAATCTTCTTGCGTAACATGGTCATGGTTTTTACCCCACCCAAAGTACCCTAGTTGTTCTCCGTTTTTCTTGAAGTAACAGCAAAATAACTCCCCAAATTGATTTCTAGGATTTTTGTGGGTCTTAATGAATCTCTTTGATCGTTTTACTCGACTTGTTAACGTGGGAAAAAGTGAAACGAGCTCAAAAGACGGGACAAACACCTTTTACCTCATCAGGACGCCGCCATCTTACACCGCTTTGTACTCTGGGAAATGTCCAGGTCATTTCGGACGATACCAACCGGATTACCGCAAGGGGGTTTCACAGCGCACTTTCGCTTTTTTACCTACGATAGCCGTGGTGGTAAAGACACCCCTCTTCGCAGAAAATGGAATAGCCCAAGGGATACCGTGAATTTAATCAGTCTAAAGAAGGGACTTTGAGAAGAAAATGGCATTTTCAATGTTCTCAAAGTCCGGGAATAAAATGGAAAGGAAAATTGTTTTGCATGTTTAATTTTGGTGGTAACTAGTTATATAGTAACATGTTACCTGTTACATGTATTTAGAGTCACAGGAGGCAAAAGGAGGAATGGTATAACCGCAGACTGACAAGAACGTTGAATTGGAGGTCAATATGGTCGTGAGGAATTATCAGCAAGAAATTCACAATACAACAAGACATTGACAACTCAAATACTTGTAACATAGAAACCTCCTGATTTCATTCTGTAGATAGGCTCTTTCAAGACACCTTTTACATGACAGTAGAGCTTAAAGATCTCAAAAACAGAAAAAATCCCCTCTCCCAAACGGCAGAGAAGTGTACCTGGGTCTTGGCCATGTCAATTTATTTCCTTACTTCTGTTACATTTTAAGATAAAATCAATTGCCATGATGAAAATACTGGCCTGGAGGAAAACTTATATCTGAGTACTAGTACATTCACTCCTTGAAACAGTCTCTACTACATGTAACGTTACATGTCTAATATGGTTCAGACCTCTTTGGCCCCCTTTCCCCCCATTTCCGCCCCTTTCTTCCACCCCCTCTTGTGTGTTTAATACATATCATTTTTACGATCCTCTCTACAAAAATACATTTACCCATAGTGTGCATGTGACTATTATTAAGAATAAATAATAAAGATATTCTTTCTTTGTTATCACTTATTTACACTGCAATAGGGGATAACATTAATACAGATGATGATACATCCATCATAAATACAGGATAAATACAGGATAAAGGCTTGACTCCTTGATCTGCAGGAAAAACTTGATCTGCACCTCCATGCTCAGTGCACACCACCTATTATACAATGATTGCTGTGAGAGGAATGTTCTTACGGGCTCTGTCTTATTCGCCGTTCAATAGGTTTACCATCATTGTTAGGACACTTATGGATGTCTCTTATAAAATTCAGCTCTCTTGTGACAGAAAAAAGGTTTGCGTTGACCCTAGTCAGTTCTGTCATAGCCTCACTGAAAATCATATGTCAAACATAGCATATGACAATGGAGCTGTGCCTTTAGTCTGTGTTCAGTCTTCAAACTTGTGCCTGAGAAAGTCCAGCATGACGGTGGATAAGGGCAGTTGGTGGATTCTGTCCAGACGGGTGTGGCCAATTGCTCTTCGTATCGTCAGGCGGCAGAGGTTCTGTAGACTTCTGCAACATCCTGGGAATGCAAGAAATGATTTAGTGACGTGTACTAAAACTCATTTTGAAAGTCAACAGTGCCATACACAGAAAAATACACATTATATTCGGTTTCTCTCAATTAAGATCTGTTTTCATTTCAATTTCTTGTCAAACAGTCTGGCATCCATCTCAATGATTGGCCCTTTACATCTTTTGACAGCTTCCAGTACCAACTAGGACGGAACTTCTGAATGTCTGGTTGACACCTCTTTACCATGACAATACCAAGGACTGTGTGAAAATTGAGCCAATCAGAGCTTTAAGTTTTCTGTATAATTTAGGCAAATATCTAACAGACGTTTTGTATCTATATAAATGTTAATCATTCCTCCATTCATACGTGCCAGACTAATTAGCAGGGATTGCCTATCAGAGGAGTGAACTGGAGGTAGAACATAGGATGGCTCATGGACTCCAGGTCCAGCTACATCTAATAAAAAAATTTAGTTAATGTCACAAACAACTGTTAGAAATTTCTTACTTGATTCTTCTTGAAGGAAATCTAACAACGGCCTGCTCCTGTCTTCTACCATTTTAGCTGTTGCCATGGGCGTCTGTCCATCATAGTTCCTCTTGTACACGTCCCCGCCAAACTCATACAACAGTTTTGCAAAATTCAGGTCATTTTTCAGAGCTGCTAGGTGGAGAGGTGTCTCCCCGTCCTCCGGCCGTCCCAGGTTGGGTTCAGCCCCCCTCTGGAGGAGCGTCCTGCCCAATGGGAGGTAACCTTTAATCACAGAGTATCTCAGAGGGAAACCTGATTGGATGTTGATGTCTGCACCTGCATCCAGCAAGAGATTTACACAAGAGAACCTATTTCTGATCAAGGCTAGCTGAAGCGGCGTGGTTCCCTTGTCGCTCAGAGCATCCACTTTGGCCCGGTAGTCCACCAGCACGCGGATGAAGTCATCGCGCCCATAGTGAGCGGCCACGTGCATGGGGGTCCAGCCGTCGTTGCTGCAGGCGTTGATGACAGCGTCGGAATGCTGACAGTCCAGGATGAGTCTGGCAATGCGAGTCCTGCCGTGCATGGCGGCATAGTGCAGAGACGTGAAGCCACCGATGGAATCCTGTACAGCTGCCAATGCTGGATCCGTGGAAAATTTGAAAGAAGGCAATGTTATAAATGTGGAATAACTTTTGCTGTTTTTTTTTTCTTTGCATTTTAAGAAATCATTCGAATGATAAAAAGATGCAAAATCTTATAATCTTTACGCATTTGTTGCACAGTGACTGTAACAACCCTGGCAACTCAATTGTAATATGCTAATAAGTCAGCATTTGCAAGGATTCAAGCAAGGATCTGTATATTGGTTCAAGCAAGGAGCTTAGAATTTATTTTAAGCTCCGTGGTTCAAACGTGACATAGTCAAGCGCCTAACCTGCATGCTGTCTCTCTCCCTCTGACCATGGAGTTAAAAAAGAGAACCTCCTTGCTCTGACAGTCAGTCAGTCATGGTGTCCATTATAATTTGCTTGCTTATTAATTCAATTGCTTTTGTCAGAAAGGTGTTTACAACGAGTTTCACGTTACCTCCATGTTCCAGAAGGACTCTGACACATCTCTCCCTCCCTCTAGACGCTGCCAGGTGAAGCAGAGACCACCCACTGCAGTCTAACTCGTTCACGTCTCCGTCCGAAGTCCAGGCGCGTAGTTCGCTGATGTCGCCATTCGCTACCGCCATCCGCAGTCTCAAGTCGGCCTCGGACAGTTGACGCCTTCTCCTGCGCACTCGGCTCGTTCGTCTGGCCCGAGGCATGATAGGAGCCCCTTGCTATGCCTGAACTACCAAAGAAACTCAAGTGGAAGCTTGTAGAGTTATATATGGCACCCGTGTTGCGCTTTTGTCGTTGACAACAGAGTCATTCCACATGTAACGTTACATCGACCGCCATGATGATGACTTGTTACGTGGGTCCTGGCGTTTTGGCGTAAGTCGCAAGGAGGCTCTTGTGCAACGTGTTGGTGTCAAATTATGGTAAATCCTGACGTCACTCCATTTACATTTACACACCCGTGCCACGGCACTCCACTAAACATAGACAGGTCACCTAATACCACTGCTAAAATTACCAAAGTGTTTGTTCCAATACCGGTACCCTTGCTTTACTGCAAGGTGCGATAGTCTCAAAAATGACCACACTGAAGCTGTCCATATATATGAGTTTTACCTGCTTTTTTGTGTGCAGTACTAGTACCGCTAACGTTATATCCCTACGTATTTTGCTAGTTATAAAAAGACAACGATGACGCACAACTTCTAGTTTGTATTCAATGTTTGCAACCAATTCATTTCAAGTCATAAAGTACCTGTGATACTTTCATAGACAGAAGAATTGTTACATTCTGTACTCCCCACATCATATGTGGTATGACACTGAGGAGATCTACAGGATGACACCTCCCAAAATTAAAAGCAATTATTCCGAATTTAGGATGGAATGCATATAACCTGTAAAGTAAACGCACAGTATGTAAACGACCATTCAAGGGGTAGTTTGTTCAAGGCGTAGTTTCTGATACTAGTAGTCTCCCACGGTGTGTGCATACTAACTTATTCAGCCACAAATCCTGTTGAACACAACAACGACCATGGCCAAAAGGACCGATGGTCCTGCGTGAAAAGTTTATAAGAAATGTAGGAAACAGAGTTGTAGTATTGGATACCAGGGCAAATATCTACGTAGGTACCGTATGATTCAGTTTTTTTTCGAACTTGAGTACAATGATGGCTAAGTAGCCACGGTGCACACAGAAAGTGTATGCCCGGAGGAACTCCACACGAACTAGTCGTGAAGTTCTATTAAACCCAACGGGGCATCTGTGTCATACACTGATGCCTGTGTACCACAGAGAATGTCACCACCGTACCGACCATCACGATCACTGTCATTTTGTCGGCATTCTTGACCGGATTCTTGCGGACGTGGTGGTTCTTGTCGTGGTTCTGGGGATTCTTTGCCAAGACCGTGGAGTTCGTGTTCTCAAGAGTCATCGCGTCCACCACAGAGGTGCCTTCTTCTTCATCACGAACAGGGTCGTCATTTCCATCCAGGAGAGAGGAGTCGTCTCGTGCAGACATGCCGGTAGAGCTGTTGTACCCGGACGTCATGGCAGAGGTGGGACGTTTTTCGTCGCCGCTGTTGAGATGCTTCTCGCTGTACTTCTTCTCCCAGTCGTCATCTCCATCCAGGTCACCATCCGGGAGGGCCGTAGACACGCCAGGTGCGTCCTGGTTGTCGCCATCCATGTCCGGGACTCCATCTCCGACCTGGAAATACAGATAGAAATAGATTTTTAAGATGTGAAAACACTGAAAATCTAATCACTGATTTAGGTGTTTTGACGAAAAGGTGACTTTGAAATACATGTAGATACTGTATTGGTCTATATATAGCTACTGACTGCTAACACCGATCAATGAGACAAACACACGCAGATGCAGGCTAGGCATAACCAAGGCAAGACTTATCAATGGCTAGCTATATTTGGGGGCCGCGTGACAATCACTTCTACCTCACGGGACCTTCCTGGAACACGGGCTCGGACAGGCACTCGGTAGAGCTCGTCCAGGGTCGTTAGGTACCAGTCGCTGTCGTTCGCATCTGATTGGATGTGTGCTTCATCATCAAGGGGAGCGTTGTCCACAGCAGTAGGATCTGAGAACTCCCCTTGGTAGTGGGCCCAACTTCCGTCCAGACGGACGTCAACGGTAGCCTGGGCGTCGGCATGGGTGGGCGCTGCCGACAATCCAATAACCTAGAAATACAGATAGATATAGATTATGAATAAGATGTAAAATACTGAAAATCTAATTCTTGATTTATGTGTTTTGACGTCCGAAATGGAAACTTTGAAATAGATACTATAATAAAGTATCCAGAAAACTCACATCTTGGGGAGTGTGTGCGTAGTGGACGTCCTCGGGGGTCAGCTCATTGCTGGACCAGTTCCCATCACCTTCTACCTCACGGGACCTTCCCGGAACACGGGCCCGGACAGGCACTTGGTATTTCTGGTCCAGGGTCGTTAGATACCAGTCGCTGTCGTCCCCATTTGGTTGGATGGGCGTTTGGTCGTCAAGGGGAGTCTCGTCCACAGCAGTAGGATCTGCGAATTCTCCTTGGTAGTGGGCCCAACTTCCGTCCAGACGGACGTCAACAGCAGTCTGGGCTTCGACATGGGTGGGCGTTACCGACAATCCAATGACCTAGAAATAGATAGAGACATTGACTATGATCAAAATGTAAAACACTGAACATTTAATCACCGGTTTAGTTGTCTGGACAAAATGGAAACTTTAAAATAGATATCTTCTGCTGACTGCTGACACCGGTACCCTCCGATCAATGAGACAGTAACAGATGCAGGCATTACCAAGGCAAGATAGACTTATCACTAGTATGATATTTGGTGACTGAGACAAGAATCAATATATACGAATGTAACATTTGGCTGACGATTTCTAAAAAGTATAGGAGTGCCTACTAGTTTACTGAACTATCCAGAAAAACTCACCAGTGCTACACCGAACAGAAACACACCGGCCATGGCCGCCCACATCCGCAAGGACGGGAGTCCTGTCATCTCCTCCTGACCGGGCTCAACGGGGAAAGTCATCTTCGTACGACGGCGGGATCTATTACACCTGCCACGTCGTTTCGACATGTTGGGAGCAAAGGATACTGCAGCAGAGCGATAAAATCGGTGAAGGATATGGGACTACGTAAACGTGCGTCCGCTTCGAACCGTGTCGCTCGAACAAATGGTAAACAACAACCTGTTGCTAGCGTCGAACACCGGGTTGTGACGTTCTGCGTTCTGGAACATCTTTCACAAAGAAACGCGGTGCATTTATTTTTACACGTAAAGGTTAACAGCGATAGTTCCGACTTGTATACTCTGCCAAACACTACAAACTTCTTTCAAACTTGTCCATATTGTTGAACACCATCCACACACAAGTAAACATACCTGTATCTGATACTACTGAACACCATCCACACACACGTAAAGACGTTCCAGTGTTCTTGACTTAAGATTTCCACACAGGCAAACGCCTCTGTCCATGGGACCATCCACACAAATAAGCAAACATGCCTGTCCCAGGTACTGAACAGTACGTGCATGCAGGTCCGTATCATCCGTGAAAGAAAGGGAAAAAACACATAACACAGGAAAAGTTCAATTGTTTGTTGTTTTGATTCAGTGTCAGATCCGTGAAAACACAAAGTATTTGCATTAGTCGTAAATATGACTGCTGATCTTCCACATAGGAGAAATTAACCAAGGTGTCATGTCCAGTTTATCAAAGATGTTCCAGAACGCAGAACGCCACAACACATGTTTTCTACACTAGCAACAGTCTCTTGTTTACCCACCTTCCCAAGTGAGCCCGCTCAAGAAGACTTTACAGGGAGGCCATCGGGGCTGATATGGACGGCCATGGCCGGTGTGTTTCTGTTCGGTGTAACTCTGGTGAGTTTTCAAGCCTTGTAACTACTTAAATACCAGTACCTTGGCTTGGGGCGTCGGTATGGGTGGGCGCTGCCGACAATCCAATAAGGCCACACCAAGTAAATTTTATGGATGACAACGCGCGCGCATTGATTTTGGCCTGTTCCTAGAAAAACAAGCAATAGACATCTTCCCTCCATGAACGAGGTTGGTGTTGTTAGGGTTCTTTTTTTATGTTATCGCATGTGTTCATTGTTAAAACATGACAGCTGGGTTTAAATTTAATTGGACGTTATATGGCCATGAATAATGAGGGAGTTGCTTTGTGTTGGTACAATTTTAATTTTTATCATGTAAGTACCAACCCAGATAAACTTTCAAGCGAGTTTTACAGTGGCCTCCTGTCGGCTTCACAGACTACCAGAAGTGACATGCAGATTATCACCATGAATAATGGTATTTCCTAATAGCCTGAGAGACATTTGTTTTCCTGGTGGTAGGAGTGCAGGGAGTCAAGTTACGAATGCAGAACACCCAAGCTCCCTGTCCAAACCTAACCCCACAGGTCTCAAATCCTTATCTATGGCAGCAAATAATCAATAAGAAATGCACAGCATACCTTGCAGAATAAGCTACACTACATATCTACAACCACCAACTATTATGGACACTAAAACACAGAAACTAAAAAAATACCACGAACCAAAGATAATCATAATCAATCCTGCAGAGGTGAGGTCATTGACCTCTCAATCACAACACAAACGAACCACCCCATTAGCAAGGCCGGCAGGTCAATGACCCAAAAACAACCAGACCAAAGAAATATATAGCCTGTCAAACAGGAGGTAAACATAGATACACTGTGGTCAAACACAGACCACACTACTATAAAATAGGGGTGATAATGTAGAAATCCAACGTTAAACATTTTGTAAATATCAAACGCAAACAGCTAGGAAACCCAAATTTAAACCACTAAACCATAATAATAACAACTACATGCTACCTTAATATCGCACAAACAGTCCATAACGCGCCAACAATAGAATAAAAAAATTAAACTGCAGTACCAAGGTCAATCACCAGGGGCTCAAAGTCAACCTACACAATCTCCAAGGCCCCATCCATCAATCTGCCAAATATCATACAGTTCCTTTTCACCGATCTTCATATATCAGACCAAAACATGAAACGGACCAAAAACAATACCCCCATTACATGGAGGGTAAAAAACAAGAAATTCCGCTTCCTGTAACTATGACCAAAGAGTCACGACAGTGCCGCAAATCGTTAGATTGACGTGAACCCCGTAACGCGAAATGGGTAAAGAGCACATGCTTTTTCTCGCCTGAGGCTATTGACAGGATCGTCCTGTCAACAGCAGGAAATACTGCACTGCTGACAGGATCGTCCTGTCAATAGCAGAAAATACTGCACTGCTGACAGGACGACAGGCCTGCAAAAATGTGATGAAAGAAACAGGACAGGACGATAGCTGCTGTTCCACCTGATTTATTGCTGTTTTGATGATGAATAAGACTTCTTGCTTGTTACACTGTGTCACCTCATTCAATTTGTGTCCTAACATTTGTCGTCTCTTAGTATATTTCTAATGTAGGCATCTTGTTTTTTTAGGGCCCTTCTTGTTTTTATTCGCCCTCTAGCATTTTTGTTTTTCGTTGTTATCAAGATAACTCGGGAATCCTTAAATGGTTGTCTATGATTTTTAGTCGGCAAGTTACCGTTGAGAATACGAAGGTCAAGTTCGGAAATGGGCCTCGTGGGGGGTTCCCATGAATTTGACCTTTTGTTTTGGTCGTTATTGTTGTTAGCAGGATAATTCGAGAATCTGCAAATGGATGTTCACGATTTTTTGTGAGCAAGTTACCGTTGACGATAGCAAGATCAAGTTCGGAAATGGGCGTCGTGGGAGGTCCGTACGTCACTGTAGTGGGCTTTTGGTGATTGTTGGTTAGTTTGTCAGTAGTTGAAGTTGTGGAAAAGCAATGTTCTTTTTTTTATTGTGAATAGGTTAAGGATTTTAGATTGAGGGTTTGAAGTTTGGAGTCTCTAGTAGGTTGTGGTTTAGTGTAATAGGATATTTTGTGTGCACATCTTTAACAGGCACTTTAAGTCTTTGTCCTTTTATGTAGTTGGTTAAGCTAACAACACTAGCCAAGGTAAACTAGCTTAAGCTAACAACAACACAGCCAGGGTGAGTTGTTTGTTGAAACAACATTGCCCCGGGGAAGAGTTCCCCTAACAAGGAACTCTTGACAAGTTTCTCCCCGTGGAGGAAGATTAAGTTTCCACCAGGCACCATGGATCGCTGGAAAAATAGATACCACATATGATCTTTAATTTTGTGTTGGTCGTTATTGCTGTTAGCTGGATAATTCGAGAATCTGTAAAGATTTATAACTAAATACTATGGTTTATATTAAATGATGTAATGAACTGCAACTAAAATAGTTATGAAATCATGAACTGCAAGTAATCGAAAGTGTTGGTACTGAAAATGATATATCTTTAAAAATGCTGGATAAATGAAAGTGAAAGAGGCAAAATTGCTTTCAAAATATTGAAAAAAACTTTTTTGTTGGCTTCCCGAATCGTTCATTCTGTCTGTATACCCGTAGTTTTCAGTCACGTCCTTGCAGTTACATGCATACACCGCTCTCGGGAATAATTATATAATCTGTATACTGCAGACGAAACTCGGTTTTACTTCATGTCTTTGTCGTGACTTTCCGATTGCGTCATCGACGGACGCTCTAATGTACATCGTGAGTCGGGAAAATAGAAACGTCAGAAAGCTCAAAATCCAATTAAATCTATGATTACCTACATCCTGCAATCTCTGGCGCAGGTGAGAATCGTTACTCTCCAAGCAGAGGTTTGGGTTTTGAGTTATTTTGTTTTTGGCGTGTTTTTAGGGTTTTTTATCGGGGTTTCTTTTTTGCACTGGAATTCTTTTTCACCCAACCCAACCTCTGCCGGCACTCACCCCAGGACGGGGCAAAGCTATTCAAGATACGTGACAGTGTTCCTCCACGGGAACCATCAAATTATCATTAGGGGTAACCATTTTACAGTGCCGGATTATCACACACGTCAGCGGGGTTGGGTGAGAAAAGAATTTCCTTTGCAAAAATGAAACCCTGTTAAAAAAGTATAAAAACACGGCAAAAACAAGAGTTCCACGATCTCATACCTTCGCCAAATGATGTTAACTCTTGCGGTTGACGAATTATACAATTTTAACCATTGATTTTGTAAATAAGAGCCTCATTTGCATGGAATATATAAGTTGATCATATTCTCCACCCAATGACAGCCTTATCTTAACAAAAAGGCTATTATAGCACTTCCTCATAAATTACGCAAACGACGTCATGATTTGAATAAATCATGTTTGAATGTGTTTGAGTATGAATAAACAGAGTAAACCATATGTGAAGGTAAACATTATGCAATTGCTTTGCACTGTTATTTTGTAGTTTGTACATCTTGTACAGAGAGCATGTAAAGTAATAAACGACGACTTGCAGCAATTGCAAAAGGTCAATGTCCAGCAAAATGTGTTGTATCCAAAGAAATGTAGCGCTTCATTTCTATGAATATATGTATCTGGGTCTGCTCCAACCCGATTCTATCACACTGAAGGACATGTGCTTCAAGCATAGACAATTTTCTTCACTGACTGCAACCTTGATGATAGGCATGATTGAAAACCAGTTGGTACTGAAATGAAAATTGCAAAATGAAATGTGCACAAGTTGGTTGTTGATAACTCTTTTTTAGAACATTACAGCTAAAACCAGTGTGAAATCTTGTACAACTTCCATATGCAATGTTATGTACATACTAGTGATTCTCGGCCTTGTTACATGCCAGAGCATCCAGAATTAGTCTGGATTCCTTTTATGTCTATTGTATTGAATGACCTAGTTACTTTTGTCTGTTTTTCTATTTCTTGTTAACTTATTTTGTTGATTCTCTTGAACCAAAGTATGTATCCATTATTTGATGTAACATTTTTGTCTTGTTGATGTGACATATTTGAAAATGTGGTGAAATGGTGTTCAAAGCTTTATAAATAAACATGGAGTAATTCATGAATATAAAGATGAGTCTCTACTGTTGCTTCAATGTCCACAGGACAATCATTTTACTCCAGGAAAGCATTATTTTTAAGGACCTCAGAAGCATCCAAAAAAAGGTGTCAGGTGGGTCCACACCTATACCACATCATCCATACCTCTACCATCCAAAAATCACCACCAAGGCATGTCCAGAACAGACAATACACAAAAACTAGAATAATCAAATTTCTTCAATGATTATGTAAATTACCTTCTGATCCTGACCATCCTCACAAATTGAACAATATTAAAATGTAAAAAAAAAGACTAAAGCATTTCTGAATAGTGGTCAAGTTGGCTAATCTCCAAGCAGATATTGTGGGGTAGAAGCTGTGCAGTTGTCAGAGAAGCCTGGCAGTCCGAATTAATATGTTACAATCTCCACACTACCATCTGCTTTGAAATTAAAGTTGGCAATAACCTTTTCTTATGCCTGGAGTAACACCAAGCAAATCTAATGTAATGTCAAGTCCTCTTCTTGAGGATGTGGAGGCTGTAAAACGTTTGTCTGTAGCCCTGGTAGATCTACAGAGGAATCATTTGTGGAACAGTCTTCTGTAGCTGGTATTTCAGCTGTGAGTGTTGCTCCTTCTGGGAGTGGTGAGGTGGGGGACATGGCTGACTCCTCCCACTGTCGCACCTGTATCTCAGCAGCTGGGGACAACATAGACAAGTTAACACAAAATGCAAAGATACATACATCAGGCAAATACATACATACAACTTTTATTACAAGGAACAAAATTAATATTGTACAAATAAAGGGATTGATAAATGAATAAAAGCTCTTCTACATGTGAGTTTTTATGCTAATATTGATGTATTTTGTTTGTATTGCTGTTGCAGTTTCATTTTTTAAAGAAGCAACATGATGAGACTGTGTTAGTAGTCATGCTAAGTTAACCTCACATTGCAATACATAATACTAGCATTTCTACAGCAACCGGTATTGGGTTATGGTACAAGTTGGCAATGTTTCCTAACAACATTTGCACTCAAGAGTTGGGTGTAGTCACCTTGGAAGGCTTCAGGATACTGTTTGCTGACTTTTCCTTTAAGTTCCCTGTAAATGATGGGGAGTGTAAGTAAATAAAATGGAAACAACACCAGCGGTCAAGGAGGTCATGTAACAATAAACACCTGTGAAAACAACGGAGCACTGCTATATCAATGGATTAATGACTTGGAACAGACTAAATCAACCATATCTATTACAACCTGACATAAGGGCCATGCAGAAACACACACACACACACACACAAACACACACACACACACACACACACACACACACACAAACACACACACACACACACACAGACATGCTAAAAACAATACCTCCATTTTTCACGGAGGTAATGAACCTACAGTACAGTACATTGTAGTTATGCTGCAGTCGGTAGTGCCAGCAGGTGAAAAACCAACCTGATTCTTCTGAAGATGTGATCCAGGTCCTTCTTCATGTCCAGCAGTGTCTGGGTGTGCTTCTTAAACATCTCCTGTGTCTCGTCAAACCGGATGGACGACAAGGTGTTGAAACTCTGCAGCATCTCATTTGTCTTCTCAAATCTGTTCACCCTGTACACACACAGATACAAACAAAATGTTAAACAAATCTCACAAAGCAGAAGAGGAAAATGGACATGCTCACACAACTACTGTAAATCACTTTATGTTTACCAGAAGTTTTCATGGTCACTTCTGCACCGCGAATTATTAAGCCGGCAAATTGTTTGTTCACGGTAATGATAAGTTTGAGGTACAGAAATGACCAGGAAAACCGTGAATATAAAAATACTGCGAAAAACGAAAAAATTATGATTTACAGTACCTAAACATTATCACATAATGAGGCCATGTTGATTTGATTATATGGATGACATCCTCTGGGAACCCCAAAACTGATGCGCGCGAGCGAATAAAAAAAAAGTTTTGCAAAAAAAAAAGTTGCTTTCACTATGAAATCTACGTGGTCATGAAGGTTGAACAAATGGCACAGAATATGTTATGGCGAATAATCTACTCTTCGAATTCATTTCTTTACATTTTTGTCTTTTTTCCTTTGATTTTGGCATTCTACGACATTGGTATCGTTTCTAAATGTTTTCCTTGCAACTTATGGTATATTTTTGCTCATTTAGCAACTGTTTTGCACGATTTACAGTATGGTTGAAAACTTTTTTTTTTTTGGAAACGGCCGAAAATTCATGCGCGCGCGGATGTCATCCATATAATCAAATCAACATGGCCTGACATTTGTCTGTCTATTCATCACCGCCCTCTGGCAGAACATACAAAAACTGCAGTACATAAACATATGCACAGAGAGTAGTGTGAGAGCGACACATATTAAAGCAAAAGCCAATACATGTACTTCAATGAAGCTTCACTGAACAAGAAAGCCCTTCTTACATGTGTCTCTGAGCCTGTAGAACTGCGTTGACATCGTCATCGTTCACCAGATCCACCAGACTTCTCAGGAAAACATCTGACGGCTCCTTTGCGCTGCCACTAACGTTCCCGTCCGCTGCTGGGTCCCGATATAGAACCTCCACTCCTGAAGACTCCGTAGCCACCGAGCACGAATCGCTAGAATCTTCAGTCATTTCCTTACCGGGCAGGAATTTCTCTGAGGTGTGTTATTGTTGAAATGTTGCAAACGAGAAGCGACGAAACATTGAATTTTCCAGCTGTTCTTCTACTTCGTCACGGGTCACCGAAAGGACCCTAAAAACTTCTCCCGCTTAGATTTTCTACGCTGCCTGTTTATTTGGTAGGTAATTATCTCGGTTTAATTCTTTAAAAACATATAGCAATGATGCTGAAATACTTAAGTGATATATCTGTATTAATTGTACTTAATGTCAAGTATCTTTAGGTGGATTTTGACCATTCTTACTTCTATATTTTTCTCCAATTTAGTCAGGCACAATGTTTGAGAAAGAAGACAGCCGCGACCTTAAGACTCTGACTCACGGGGTAAATCCCTCGGAGTTCATACGGACAGATGTTTTCAGAATACTTAACTAGTTAAAAAATGTCCATAACGTACAGTATGGAGCAGCCAGACAGTCTGGAAGGCTGGATAGCGATCAAGGAGACGCCGTTCGATGATCCGGACGCCAGGACTCGTCTGAAGTTTCTCGTAGGCTGGAACAACGCGGAGAACAAACTGGCCATAACTTGCCACAACGTCGCCAAGTGTAAGAAGCGCAGTTCGGACGACGATAGAAGTTGGGCCGGGATGTTTTCCTTCCAAGACATCCGTCATGCACATCAGCAGATGTCTCTGGTTTATCCCCAACTCGAACCGTACCTTCCAGTGATGCCTGAAGAGATGTCAACCCTCTGGGGCTACCTTAACTACTACATGGGGACGTATAATAATGATACTGAAGTGTCCGAGACAGTTGTCAGTGATGTAGAAACATACCTTAGGGTCGCCCTGGACGTTTGTGGAAAGAAACTTGTTGTGGACACACTGTTCATGGAAGACTCCAGCACGGACGCCTACTTCGAAAACTTGAACGACTTAAAGAGAAGAGGATACGAGGATGCAGTGAGTCGAGCTGCAGACCATCTTAAAGAGGCAGGTCATCTTCAAGTTTGTTGTTGTTATTTGATAAATCTATAGTGATACTTTCCGTATTCATCACTAGAATCCCACCACAGTTAACATATATCAAGGACATTATAATATAAAATCCATTATTTGACACTGTCACAAACAACGACAAGGGGATACAGACTCAGTCACATCTAGGATCTAGGACTCAGTCTCACTGCTGATGAGCGCCACCTAGTGACCCTGAGGAAGCCCTACAGAAGGTAGCTGGCATTTTGCCAGAACACTGTTTAAAAAACTCAAATATCACTCAGTTGTGTACATCAAGGACTCTATATAATGTCCTTGTGTACAAGAAAACTTTTAACATATAAAAAATTGTCAAATTATCTGACTCTTTCTCCAGGTGCTTGCCCTGCGGGCAGGCTCTATCAACATGCTGGACATGTTAGGTGTGTACGAGCTGGAGGGTACAGCTGTGGAGGACCTACTGTTGGCCATGGTAGAACTCTTCCACTACAACCTGCAGCCTTTCCTGGATGTCAGGGAGGTGGCCTTCATCAAAAGACAGGAGGTCAGTCAGAACAGTACAGGTCCAACTAACAACATGTAACCCACAATATCCTTTGGCACTGGAATTGTCTAAGATGGTTAAGTTTTGAACAGTGTCCAAGCAGTGCAGGATTTGCAAGTGCAAGAGTGCAGGAATAGCTGCTGTGATGTAAAATTCACACATAAGCTTTAATATTAATGACTATAAATTTATCTAACTAAGTTCTCTCTAAGTTCTAACTGAGTTCTCTTCTCAAAGTAACACAGGAAAACAGTGAGAGGTCACCAGTGAGAGGTCACCAAGGAAATCATAAAGTTAAATACAGCCAAAATTCATCAAATTTCTGTAGTTAATCTGAAAAGATGTTCGAATTACAAAAAAAAAATAATAATGTACAACTGTTCCCCTACTAGTTGCAAGAACTGGTGCAGGACCCAGACATTGGGGAAGGTCGGAGGTCACAGTATGTTAAGGAGTACAATGAATGGCAGACACAATATGAGACAGCCACAGATGCCATTCTACAGCTGCAGATCAAATACTTCAGTGAATGTGTTGATATTTCAACAGGTAAGAAAAAGGGACATTGTGGGATGCATTCAAGTTTTTAAAAAAAAGCAACACGCTCACCCATAATGTAAATTGTAGAAACAGGTGGTCTTAAGAATAACTGACCACTTGTTGGCTGGCCAAATTCATATTGCACCTCATATCAAATGGGAGATCCTGATTGGTCATCTTGCTATTATGATTCTGCTCAAAAAAACACAATCCAGAGGTAGTCTAGGCTGTACAACATTATATCATGAAGTAAAACATACATACATCATTGTAATATTTAAAATTGTGTTATCAAAAGGAGCTCACATCTTTAGCTGGCTTCAAGTGCAATTAGCACAAATAGCCAAGTACAAGTAACACAAAAATCTATTTTGACTATGATGCATATATATATGTGTGAGATTCTTCTTATTTTGAAGTAGGTGCAAAATAAAATAAAACAATAAACACATTTTGTGCAGGGATGAAGGAGAGAATGCTGGCAGACAAACAGAAGTTTGGGAAGGCCACCTGGGATCTCCATGCCTCTGGTAGACTGAACAGGATAGAAGAGAAAGTGTCTGGGGATACGTTACAGATGCTCAGGGCAAAGGAGAAACAGTTCCAGACACTGAGGAGAAAAATCAAGCAAGAGGTACCTAATCAGTGCTAGTGGGCTGGTTGGGGGGTGTTTTAATTGGAATTGTTATTTCAAGACAAGGGAAGACTGTACAAGTATATATATTGTCATCGCCACACTACAATTTATCCCAATAAATGATCGTAAATTAATTTCCTAAACTTTTTAAAGAAATAGTAGAAGTTCCAATATGTTGTATTCATACAATTATTGAGCAATGAAGTTATTATCATCAAACTTTGGAGTTGAAGGAAGATATAGCTCTGTCAAGGTTAATTGAATTATATTTTTGAATGTTCTGGGTTTTGGCTTCCTCTATGCTGTCTTCTCAGAATGCCAGATGTGTCGTAGGAACAGAATCAAACCTTTTCCTATCATGAAAGTTCATCTGTGTTGGTAGTACATATTATTTTAATAAAAACAACAACAAAACTTCTTTTTTGTCTTTTCCATCCAGATGGCTTTCCTTGAGGAGGGAACAAACCTTAAGTTAGAGCTAGAGAAGCTGGAACAGAAGTACTACTCCATACAGATCAAACTGTACGATGTGCAGCTGAAGGTCATGGAGGAAGAGGAAGCCTTGTGTAGGAAACAGCTCGGGGTCATTCAGAAAGAACTGAAAGGTAAGATCATACCACTTCAATCCACTGTAAATCACTTTATGTTCGCAGTTGCAAATGTTTGCAGTCTGAGCTAATGAACATGTTTGCAGAACTAATACATTTTGTTCGCAGTGGCAGCAGGTGCAGCAAAAAGAAAGTCGATATGATAAGTTTGCAGTACAGAAGTGACCACAAAAACTGTGAATATAAAAGTACCATGAGAATAATTGTGATTTACAGTATTGGTCCTTAGATTTCAGACTGGAAAATCAACATGAGTCAGAACAAACTCGGCACCCAAATGATATAGTATTACACATTTTCATGGGCACCGTTTATAGTAAAGAGGAGCTTAGTACCCTGTTTTCATCTTGACTGCTTGCTGAAATTTTGGGCAGGGCCAAAACTAACTAAAGACTTATAGTGTATGTGTAGTTCAAACAAATGTTCATGGCTAGTGACCTAGCTGATAAGTCAGTCCCACCAAGTACTAGTATACTCTTATATACATGTATAAAACTTATAACCTTGATTTTTTTTTAAAGTAGCCTTCAGGTCCTGTTGCATATGGTGACAATTGAGTAAAAAAAGCAACAGGCTGCCAATTTTATCGTATTCACCTATCTGCTTTGCTGAACTTGTCTACAGATGAAGAAGACACTGTGATGTTCTATGACGCCTGTGAGACTCCAGAAGACCTAGAGGACGTTGACCTTCCTCAGTTCAACAACAGTCAGGCTGACCCCCGTGTCACACAGCTCAAAATAACTCTCAACAAAATCTTCAGGAAAAGGGCCTTCATCAGAAATAACAAGGTAACATCTTCAAAACAATCAGCTTGGGAATATGTAATGACAGTGAATATATCTGGTCAAAAGCCACCATTCTTCAACCGACGTAGTTCACAGAACACAATTCTAACACTTCTATCCATCATTAAAACATAAGCTTGATTTCTGTTGTATTAAATTTTTATTTGATGTGTCATCACAGAAAATGCTCATCAGACAGAAGCAAGATGAAGAAGATGCAAAGAGGCAGCAGCAAGATGATGTTACCAGGCACCATGCCATACAAATGGTACAAGTATATACAATATAACGTTACATGTATAGTACAAGGCCTCCTTACACACAGAACACACACACACACCATTGTGCCTTCTGTGAGTTCTGTCAATTGTATAGTTACTTTGAGATCTTGGAAAAACACCATACAATATCTCTCAGATGCAGTTTCCACTGTTATGACATTGAGTCCCCTAGGATAGGTACCAAAATCAACTTGCATTATGATGCATGTTTTTGTGTGATTGTAGAAAAGAGATCAGCAGAAACAAGAAGAAGAGAACAGGAAGGAATGGAGGGACAGTGAGAGACAGAAGGCTCTGGATAGACTAAAGAATTACAAGAAGGTTTGTACAGGAGATTTGTACAAGGTTGTTATGATGCTGCAAATAGTTTTTTATATCGTTGAGTTGAAGTAAGTTAAACCTCAGCAAGATTGTTGTTAGCTGGCCACAAAGTGACCCTCCAAGAGTGTGTGTATTGGAATCATAGATCATAGTTTTGCCTAATCTCTTTGGGATTTAAACAATTCTTTTTTACCTCCACCATACAGAAGTACCCCTCCCCTGTAACCATCAAGCCACCCCGGTACCAGGCACCTGGTCAGAGGAAGCGCACAGGGAGTCAACCCAAGGAAACAGTGCAGAGAACTCGAAAGTGAGATGGACTTTCTTTTTTCTCATACAATGATGTGTACTGCTTTTCCACAAATTTTATGATGTCATACAATCATGTGTATTGGTTTGTTGCTACAGTTGTGGGTATACAAGACCTATATATAAGACGAATTCGGTCTTTGATGAGGAAATAATTAGTCATTTTGCTATAGTGTATTAATAAAATAATGGCATCTCTTGATTATAAACAATGCATTTTTTTTGTAATAGTATATTAATGAAATACTGGCATCTCCTGATTTAAAATGATGCATGATTTTTTTTGTTACAGGAAAAGTCCCAGCTCCAAAAGTGGCCAGGCCAATGTTGTGGCATCTAAATCAAACAACAAACCAACAGATGGGTCCTCAACCACCTCCATGGTTACTCCACCTGCACCCCCTCCCCCACCACCTTATCCACCCCCTGGGTGTACCTTACCCCCACCACCTCCACCACCTCCACCCTCTCCACAGCAGCCACCCCCTCCCCCTCCCCCTCCTCCTCCGCCTGGCCTCCAAACCCCAGCTGGCTTCCAGCCCAAACTAAAACCCAGGAAAAACAGTGACAGAACGAAGCAAGAACAGAAAACTCTGGGATCGATTGATCCCAAGGATATTGTCGCTGCAAGGCAACACTTAAAGAAACCTCCTGAAGAAACAAGGTCTGGAAATCTGCAAGGCGGAGGTATGTTGAATAGCAATGAGTTCACACTTTCACTGACCACCAATGTGCTTGGTTACTGGGGGATGTTCCTCATAACGGTCAACATGGTTTATGTGCAGATGATGTATTCAAATGTGGTACACATACAGGGCTTGAAATACATGTACTCGCATGCAACAACACTTTACAGGGAAGCGTTGAAATTGCAGTTAAAACACACAGACAACTTTCAATTTTGCAGGAAATAATTGCAACAGTTGCTGATTACTTAGAATTATCTTACACTGAAATGTGGTGATGATGATGATAATGAATTATCTCACAACAACCTGTTACACCTACATTTAACCCATTTGTATGTAATTCCAGGCAGTTTAAACTTACCTAGTGAGAATATTGTCCAGCATGCCTTAACGTGCTCCACAACACAGATTTGTGTTCATGACTAGCCTCAATGAAAAATTTGCATCCACTCTTTAAAATCCTGGTCAGTTGACTGCCAAAGCTTGTGAAAATCAATGCCCACTTGTTTTTCTCCCCTCACCAGGTGACCCCATGACAAACGTCCTGGCCCAGCTGAAACTCGGCATTAAGCTGAAGCCAGTTCAGCGGTCCGAGGAGTCAAACGTCACGTCCCTGTCTGACAGCAACGCCAAGCTGCTGACCGAGGCTTTAGACAGGATCAAACGGAGAACAGAGACTCCTTCTGATGATGAGGACGGAGTCGACGACTTGGACGAATGGGAGTCCAGTAATTAACATAATTATTCACCCAAATGAACCAGCTGGTAGACTAATACAGTGGCTTCCCACTGGGAGATGTAGAGTGGGACAGCCTTATACTACACTTTTGTCTATGTTAGTGAGAGATGCTGGTCTTGCAGGGACTGCACTAGTGTCTGCTATGAGGGATAGGGCATACTGGAGTAACTTTATCAAGTGTACCTCACTGACCTTAAAATCCAGAGGCATGATGATGATGATGATGATGATGATGATTACCCAAACCTCGCCATTCAGCTGTTTGGCTGCCACTAGGTAGCGTTGTTGTTACAAACAAAAATAAACCAGTGCTAACCCAGTGTTGACGTCACACTTCCAAGAAGCCATGTGACCAGTCTAACTGGGTCAGTCTATTGAGGAAGACCAGAGTGACTGGTCGAAAGCTCCAAGTGATAACATTTGCCTTTTGTGTTGAAACGAAAGTTTTAACTTTAAAAATGTATCTACCAACACAGATGAACTACCATAATAAAAATAAACCAGAGTGATCTTGATCAATATCTTGAGAGTGAATGATTAAAGAAAAAAGCAGCTGTGTACATGTGATAGGCACAGAATGATTGATCATGTCATACAAAATGTTATCAATGACAAATCAAGTGGTCAACTGAAAATTGCCTGAATAATCACCTGATTTTATTATCAGCTTGGAGTCATTTAAGATATTTCAGTCTCTAACAATGGGACCTTACTTCTGTATAGACTAGCTGACATCACAATCACTTTTAGCAAATCTAAACCATTTCTTGTAAAAATATGCAGATACAGCTAGATTCAGTGTACATGTATATAAGTTTGATTGTGAAGCCTCCTACCTAAAATAGGGAGAAGGTGACATGCCTTAACTGTGAGGTCACTACTTCTTTCTTAGTGTTTTAGACAAGCAGAAAAAGATATCAATCTAAATATAAAGTGTAAATATCGTGCTTACAAAGTGTGAGGAATCTTTCACAAACATAGGTTAATGAAATTATAGAGAACCTACATTGTAGTGTTTGGGGAAAAAACATCAGCATTATTTTTAAATAATGCTGAAAGAGTCGACCCAGCTTGCACTTAAAGTAGTCTGTATGGTGAATGTAGAAATACATTCTACTAAAAGTCAAGAAGATTAAGATTACTTTATAATGGATTAAGGCTACACAAATGCATCAGTTGTTTTAAGTAAAATGTAGAGTTCAATAGTTCAAGACGGAAAGAAATTGTTGGAAGGAAAACTTTCATTGACTCTGAAAACAGTGTGTGCCATGTTACAGTCATTCCCCTCCAGTTAGGTTTTCCAGATCTGTGTTAACTTACCCAAGTCCTGTGTAAATTATCATTAATGCTATATTGTACCTGTACATACTGTGCATTGTCTCATCAACAGGTGGCAATTGTTGCTAAAGGGAAGAAACTTTGAATATCAAAATTACAAATGAAAGGTCAACCAAATTGATTGTTGTGACTGTTTTCTGCTTTGGTGTCTTACTAGTATACTAGTATGTGTTTCACGTTTGTGCCCAGCCAATGTTGCCATTAGGACTCAAATGTTGTTCAGATCTAGAGAAATGGGTAAAAATGGCTCATATGGTCTTGTCTTATCTACCAGCGTGTGTACCCTGCTTGAAAAGTATTCCTCATTTTAGAAAATTTATTTGCTGAGCAAATTTTGCAAAGATTCACCCGGGTTTATATGAGAAGGAAATGCTAAATATTTCATAAGGATTTAATTGACGTATGGGAGACATGTTTTCTTATGACGTATTATCCTTCTTACAAGGGGTGTTTATGAGATCTGGCTGTTTTATACTGCAAGCTTATAAGTAACATCACTTCATCATGTAGGATTATAGGCAATATACATGACAAGTAGGTCCTTAGAGTAACAGGTAAAGATACTTAAGAGCAAGCTTAAGCGTCGCGCGTGTCATCTGTCAACTAAGTTATGATGCACCTGTTAAGACAAGAGACAGAGTTTTATGTGACTCATGGGTATGGTGTTTGACCTCGAAACCAAGACGTTCTGCCAGGCCCTTTTGCCCTTGGGAATAACTCAGCTCAAGTAAAAATGAGTGCCTATCTACCGGATGTCGTCTGATTTGGAATTCCTTGTATATTCCTACATATTCGAACTGCATTCTAGAAATTCTCACTGCATTCCAAATATCTGTACCCATTCTTGTGGCCGATCCGAATGTTTTGGTCATGCTCAAAATTTTCGTGGTCAATTTGAAGCTTGTGGAGAAACATCGAGCAGCACTCAAGGTGAAATCTAACTACAGCAGGTTGTCGATGTTTACTGTGGGGAGGGGCCCGGCTGACGTCATCCTAAGTACCCGGTCTATCAAGTTTGTCGATTCCCTAAGCTATTCCCACGAGACCGTGCAGGGCAGTACTAGTCAGCGAGAGCACCTTCAAGTCATACCAGAAATTGTCTGCAGTATACTATGTGACATCAGTTTGGACTTCTCATGGTATAGTAGTTATTAGCTAAGGTTTAGGTCGGAGACAGCCAACGTCGAATTTTCCATTGATGACTTGATGAGCAGATAGACATTGACAGCTTCGTTAAGTAACGTCACGTATATTGTTCAGTGAAAAACTAAAGACAGCCGAAGTTTGTTGCCCTGAGTGCTGACCGCGGGCAAAGCGAACCGCCGTATACGCTTGTAGTATCACAGAAAGTTGACTTGGAAAAATGTCTGAGAAGAGGCCAAGCGTTCGTTCGACCCTGCGGAAGTACGGAGAGAACACCTCGGCACACGGCATCCCCCGGGCCGTCACCACAAAGTCGCTGCCCCGCCGACTGTTCTGGACGTGCCTGTTCCTGGCATCCTTCAGTTACTTCTTGTACCAGGCCCAGACGCTCGTCAACAAGTATCTGGTTTATCCCGTCAACACAGACGTGAAGATCGAGTGGTCGGAGCTGGAGTTTCCCGCCGTGACGATCTGTAACGCCAACCCTCTCCGCTATCGCGAGCTCATCAAACGCGGGAGCGCGGCTTTTCAGAACGCCGGCTTCATACCTAAACCACAGCCACAAGGTCAGAACAATCCGAACTCGAATGGATCGACGCCAGCCACAGGTAGCACCACAGTAGCTACAGCGCCAACAACTACGCAAAATAGTACGGTAAGATGCTTGCCTATGATTGAAGCAAAATAGAATCGATCATCACTAAAGCATGGGGTGTTTTTCGCGAATCTCCTTGGAAGAGATCATTTTGCCCAACCGTAACATTTCCATTTATTTTGAGAACAAGTAGTCCCCCCATAAAGCTGTACCAAAGTTTAAACTGGAAAAATGTAGCCGTAATGTCATCTAATTCTTTCTATATTTATGGATGTCTGAAGTGCATTCATGCTTCAAGCTTTCGAGGCGACTTCGAATTGGAAAAAGGCGAACGGCATTGTAACTCCAGTATGACACCGAAATGGGCCCAAGCATTTCGAGTACTGAAGTTTTATATATATGATACATTTCGAATAGCCAGGAATGTACAAATCTTTTTTTTATTCTGGTGGCTCATTCCGCCACTAGTGTGTACTCTCCAATCAGAGGTTGGTGTGGAAGATTGTGACCTTTCTATCATACGCCCCGTTTTCTGAGTACGTTTTACTCTGTGGCTACTCCAGAAAACGGGGCGTATGATAGAAAGGACACAATCTTCTCATGCAACCTCTGCTTGGAGAGTAGGTATGGCCAGTCTAAGTTGGCATGCTTTCTGCCTTGTTAACGTTCTGCTTGACTCCTGTCGATTCGGACCCTGTGAAGTGTGAAGGGTGTGTGAGGCATACCTTCTGTATAACGTTTCGTGCTCAAGGTCACAAACAATCAAGCACAATTACAAATTAACGATTAAAGGGCTGTTAAACTACAGTCCGCCAGATTGTAGTTTTTAACAGGCAGTATCTACTTGTTGACCTTACTGAGAGAGTTCACACAGTTCACTCGAGCCAAACTAATGAAGAAGCTGTTCTTTAAAAACAACCCCTGAGGTACAAAACATATTAACCTGATCACCATGTTGTTCCGGCTGTTGGACGGCACTGTTTGTTTGGTTACCGTGGTAAAAAGTGATCATCAAGCCGCAGGCTAATCTACTTGCAGCAAATCTTTTGGCAAAGACAGAATCAAATTGGCCAGGCTCTATCCATTGGACAGGCAGTTACCATCATACAACTGTCTGGTCGATGAACCTTTGATGGATAAAGCCTGGCCACTTAAATTATGCCTTTGCAGCCACCAAAAGATCTGCTTGGAGATTAGCCGCAGCCACATTGTCCTAAATCAGTGGACAATTTCATGATGAGTAATTTCCGTTACTACGACTTTACCACATACAGTTTGAACCAGAACCTGGCTGTTTGCACCACCAATGATCGATGTTTATCCTCGGTACCGCCCAGATCCTGGCACTGTGTCTATGACGCATGGGGACGTGACCAAGTATCACGCATGATGAGTACAAATTTGATGAGACATCTTTTTCTTTAAAAGCTTATTCAGCACTATAGTATTGCTTTTGGGCTGAATATCATTCAGTAAGCCTTGGTGATAACAGATCAATAGCTATTCATTTTTTGGTCATGAAACTGGATACTGCTCAAAAGAGTGAGGGATGCGTGCTTCTCATCTCAGGTGAATAGACAAGAATCGGGGGGTTTACTTTGCTACTTGTGGAGAAAAGAACCGTAAATTATTTAGGCTTTACCTGAAAACGATAGCTTGTGGTGTTCTTTGCTATATGATGGTACCTGACTGCACCTGGCAGTGTGTCGTAGAGCTTCGACTCCGATTCATCCATCCTTCTTTTCTATTGGAAGTAGCCATAGTACCCTTTGTGGTATTCGGGGAACTTGATATTGTCAGCAGCGTACCAGCGAGATGCAATATGAATGATATCAGGCAACCGAGACATCGCTGGCGTCATTTCGTCTGTAGAACCAACTTGATCTCTGAAAAACAACACAGAAATGACGTGGAACGGATTTGGGTCCTCCTGAAAGAAAGACCGCCCCATGTGACAGGCTGAATAAAAGTTCTAAACGGGAACTATCGCGGCTCCAGATGTCTTACTGAGGGACGACTGCGTGTGCGAGATGCCGGTTAGTTGGAATGATCCCATTCATTTGTATATAACAAGTATGGCCATATTTCTTGTTTGACTGACAATGGCCCAAAAAGATAGAATTGTAAGCTCCTGTCGCATTCTAGGCATGGCGAGTGATGTAAGTTAAGTGTTCGATAGAAAAATTAACCCCAACTTTTTTTTTATCAAACTGTTGGTTTTTATCAACTCCTCGAGGCTGAATTGGTGTTGACATCGTTTTATGTCCTGCCAGAATAAAAAGTTAACGTTCTGTGCAGACACCGAAAGTCATGTTTCACATGTCCGAGTGAACACATGTCGCTACTGTTTCACCATGGCCAGTGATGAAACTAATAGCTTAATATACATGTCCTTGGGATTTTTAGGGTCACATCCGCAAAGCACGAAAGCACAAGGGCATCACTATACCATCCATGTCAGTGATGGCATATATGGGTTCATTGTCCGTTAGGCGTCCTTGTTTCGGTGTTTTGTTGCTCTTGAGAGATACTAGATTCATCAATGTCTACCGAACTGTCCAACATTGACTTATACCTTATAGCTCTAATCCTCCAAAAAAATTAACATTTTATCCATACAAGTCAGTAATGTGGCCGGTTACATGCGTGTAATACTTTCAAGGAAGCACATTTACTTGGTCCAGTGAGCAGTATAATCGTCGCCTCGGGCGCGAATATTTCTTGTGTTCAACAAGGCCTTCTTTTGTCACAACAACCGAAGAGTGTTAGTGAAATATTTCGTTCACAAACAAATACCGTATGTATGTCCAGTCTGAATTCCTGAGTGGTAACGTCTTATATGATTCTAATGTCTGGTAGATGAATACGGAATGAGAAGGTCTAGCGAGAAAAGGGAACGAGGTGCAACCTGCCCAGAGACAGTGTCCATACAAAACACCTGCATGACCCGTATGTTTATACAGGTCAAACAGGTGTACATGTTTTGTACTCTTAAAAGAGAAATTTAAGACTAGAATCTGTTGTGTTAAATACTACTGTTTAACACAAACTATGGCCGTGACGTCCTGGGCTCTATGCAGAGTTTCTTGTCTTTCACCTCTAAACCAGGAGGCTGATCTTAAAAAGGAGAAGTACAGACATATGAGCCTTCTTCTGGTGATTAAAATGAACTATCTTCTCCACTTTCAGTAACCTGGTTGAACGCCAGGGCTGTACCCTGTTTTTGTTCGGCCACTGTAAGTCTTTACCCCGCCAAGGAAATAAGTCGACCGCCTCGGTGATGTTTGCCTACTAGATGTAGAAGTAACGATTGGTCCTAGTTGCCTTGTCTTCCTCGGGGAGTCTGAGGCAATTTTTTTTCTTTGGGTATTTTAAAATATTTTTTATATCTAAAAATATACGTGTTAGACATGGCGCCAAAAAGCTGGCCTGTGTGGCCCCAGCACAACTGTTTGTTAGGTACTAGTAATAGGGCCGGCTAAATCCCCTCGGACTCAACTCCCTCGTCGCGGTATAGGCGCGCGAAGTGCTTTTGGCTACCGAAGCCAACGGCTAACGACCCGATACTAGTTGTCAACATGCAGTTGCTCCTTTGAGAACGGCCGCCTGAGAAGTTTCTTACGACTCTTACAGAGCTGTCTCTATTTCAGACTAGGAAAAGTGATCGGCTTGTACACCCGTTTCTTTTCCAGAGTGATGAGGATGATGATGATTATGACTACGATGGCTACCATGGTGACTTTGAAATGGTCAACTCCTTCATGGGACTCCTGGTGCAACTGACCGCCTCCATGAGACAGTCCCTCGGGCACCAAGGACGGGACTTCATCCAGGAATGTCAGTTTGATGGAAGAACATGCTCACACAGGTAACGTTACTAGTCCTCCTCTGGGCCTACCCTGAGTGGAGGTCACGGATGGGTTTGTATCCCACCTCTGACACCATGTTGTGCACTTACAGTTTAAATGGACTCAGTCCGAGGCAAAGGGGAATTTTATATTAGTAATTTATTTTAGCTCATACGGTTAAGATGATTTATGATGTTCGCATGGTTTGAATTACAAGATATATAATGATAGGTGTGGATGGGTTCTTAAAAAGTTAAATAACATTTTATAGATACTAAAATTGAGTCCATTTCTACAGGAATTTCACAACATTTGAGGACAGTACTTATGGAAACTGCTTTACCTTCAACAAGGACAAGGATGGGGAAGTGTTACACACAGCCACAAGTGCAGGGCCTTTACATGGTAAAGCATGATTTATTCCTAGCCTTCTAGCTACAACAGTCAGTGATCTAGTGTACAATATTCAGTATCTAGCGCGTCTTGTCCAGAGGCTTTAGAAGTCACATGACCACGTTGAAACACACTCTTTCTCAACATATGTACGTTGCTGCCATCCTTTCTGTAATAGTTTGTAGAGGACTACAGTCAACATCTATTTGTTTTCAACTGATGGAAGAATGTATGTCCTCTACTGACATGTCAAAAAAAAAAACAAAGTGACAAGTTTCTAAGACAAGATAACAGGGTAGTCTGGATCAATTTATGAAATTTATTCATGCATGCAAACTTGCAAATGTATGCAATTTTATGCAAAATTTAGTTAATGAATTAATTAACGAAATATTTTAATTTGTGCCATAACTAAGACGTCGGTGGGGTCTACATTCCAGATGTGCAAACTGGTGCCTTTTCCCTCTACACGCAGAAGTAAAGACAATCAAACCTACATAACGGTACCTACATGGGCAACTCTGTGGCAACTGTGGCGTTGAATTGCTGATATCTTATTTTTGTCCTGCCAGGTCTGTCTCTGATATTGTACATAGAACAGGATGAGTACATCCCCGCCATAGCGGAGAAGGCAGGGGCACGTGTGGTGATCCACAACCCATACGTCTTCCCGTTCCCAGAGTCCGAAGGGTTTGACGCAGCCCCAGGGTTCCTAACTTCCGCCGGACTCAGACTGGTACGGATCGTGATAACTTTATCTCTGAGAGATGAAATATCACACCTACAAAATGATAAATGTGGATGAAACATTGCCATTTGTATAATTGTATCCCCGATGATTCCATTATGTGTCGAAATGCTGGGATGCCGGATTTATAAATATTGACCAAATGCAAAATGTGTTGGTATTTGAATAATAATAATGATAATAATAATAATGATAATAATAAAAATAATAATAATAGAAACACGTGTTGCTTCAAAAAATGAACGCTCAAATACTGAAGAAAAATGCGAAGAGGTCGTTTCATCGAGACAGCAACAGTACGGAACCTTCGTAATAAGGGCCCTGTCGCACGTCTGCGTACTACTCATTGCGTATGGCATTTTCTTCCATACGCAGCCGTACGCACAATACGCACGTTATATATTAATCTCAATCCTTTTGAGTCACTTTTATGTCATCACGGGTTGTTTGAACTACTTCAATGTTATCTTATCTTAGTTTTGTCGAATGGACATTTCGTAAGTCTTATCTACACATAATATATCAATGATATTGTTTTTCTTTCTTTTTTCTTGTCCAGACGTCCATTACTCGATTAGGTGGCGTGTACGGGAACTGCACCAATGGACAGGGCCGTCATCTTCTCTATCCTCAGATGTACTCTCAACAGGCGAGTTCTCTGTACAACTTCTGATAATCGCATGACACTTTACCTGCTGATACATGCTATCACCAATTCAAGCTTCAGAGAATGAACCGCCAACCTGTCTCAAGCACCACCACTTACAACAAACTTTACAAAAGGGTTCTACCCATACTATGTTTGGTTGCTTATAAAAAATGTTAAATCTTAAAGAAATACGAGGGGTGATCCAAAAGTTCTCGGCCCCACCTAGAAAATAGAGGTCAAACGCATATTCTTTGGTATAACTGTATACTATGACGTCTTACATCACTGCCCACAAAAATGCAAATTTTTACATTCATTAATTAGCACGTGACGCCCCGTGAAAATGGGGCGGGTGAGGGCAAAATCACAAAATGGCCGCACCAGAAGCGTGTGCTGTGATCAAGTGTATCGATAAAAAGCTATGTCTCCTAGGGAAATCCATAAAGACATGAGCAAGTCACTTGGTGATGACTCCCCTTCTTATTTAACCACAAAGAACTGGGTTGCTAGCTCTAAGCGCGTCAAGGAGAGCACAAAAGATGAACATATGTCAGGATGCCACAAATCAGCACCATGGACAATCCAGTTGAGGCCATCCATCACATGGTAGCGAATGACAGATGTGAGACTGTCCAACATGTAGCAGGTTCTTTGGCCTGACTTGTGGTACATTTCACAATGTTTTGTCGTACATCCTGGGGATGAGCAAACTGTCTGCATGATGGGTGCATAGAATGTTGTCTGAACATCACACATTAAATAGGCTGGGCATTTCAAGGAACGAATTCAGTCCATCAAGACAACTTACTCAAACGATTTGTCACCCAATATGAGACATGGGTTCACCACTTTCACCCCGAATCAAAATAGCAGAGCAAATAATTGACGAAGAACGGTTCCCAGCATCCCAAGCGAGTTTTACCCGTTGAAAAGGTTTTTGGCTCTGTTTACTGGGCCAGTGAGGGGGTAATCATTATTGACTACCTGCAAGAGGGTCAAACCATCAACGGGGTGTTCTGTGCACCGGAATTGCGGCATTTGAGGTAAACAATCACAGAGAAAATGGGAGAAAAGCTCCGAGTTGACGTGCTGTCAATGCACCTGTCCACACAGCACAGGGGTCAGTGGCAGCAGCAAACGAATGTGGCTTTGAAGTCTAACCCCACTCTTCCTATTCACCTGACCTAGCACTGTGGGCCTTCTACCTGTTTCCTAAACTGGGGTTCCACTTACGTGGTCAACGTTTTCATGGTGATGATGGCGTCATTGACGTGGTTTAGGCATTTTTTAGGGCTTCAGACGAAATATTCTTCCACAAGGGAAAGGAAAGCTGGAACATAACTGGACCAAGTGCATTGAAGTTAGAGTAGACTATGTTAAAAAATAACGTAAGAAAAATTTTTCTGCCATCACGTTTTTTGGGAGAGGCCGAGAACTTTTGGATCACCCCTCGTAGAACCAAAATTTGACCGTTAATAAGTAGTTCATGAAATATTGCGGCAATGGCAAACCTCTTCTGAGCACCACTTTAGAAAATGCACCAATGTAATTGTGGTACTGGTGTCCCAATCAGTCCTAAAAAGCTGAAGATATTTATTTATTTTGTTTGTTTGTTTTCTCTAGAATTGTCTTGCCACCTGCCATCAGGAACACATGGTGGAGATCTGCGGCTGTGCTGATGTCACCTTCCTCCAGCCGAATGGTACAGAATTCTGCAACTCTTCAAAGTCTGTCGGTCAGTATTTGATTCGTGTATGGTGAGGTTTTCTCCCAAGGTATAGACAAAAAAAATTGTACATAGTGGTTCTGGCACATCAACATGGTTCCCGTCTCTTCCAGTACCTCTTTCACCCTCTTTGATAGGTTGACATGTCAGAACGTTGCCATTTATTTTGTCTGTTCTAAAGGTAATGAGAGCCCAAATCCTGATATCAGTCTAGTGTACTTATTCTTTTGCTCGATGATTATTTCTCTTCATTGTTCCTTCATATAAAAGATGCTGCTACATCAACGTACAATTTGCAATAAGACCAAGGAGGTTTAAAAAGAGTTCTCTTTTTAAACCTCCTTGATCAGACAACTTGCAGTATAAAGCTTTTTGAATGTTGCTTCAGTGGATTGTGAGGAAAAGGTGAAGCAGCGCTTAGGAAACGGAAACCTGACGTGTCAATGCCCGATCAGCTGCATGTATGTATTCCCCTCAACACAAGCACAGAGTTACTATCAAACATGAGTATTTATAGTCTGATTTATAGTCTGATAGATATTCTACATGGGCGGGGAAGGGCAATAAAATATCTGTTGATTTACTCGGTGGCCCACTGTTAAAAACCACAATGTGGTTGACTATTTATGGGTACAGCTGTAAAATGGATGTCAATTTTCCAATTGTTACTTAAATCTGAAAACATGAAGTGTTCTCTTTCATTTTTGGTGGACTACAACATGTAGTCTTAGTTTACTATAGACCCTAGATAAAACTGTCCACTGCATTTTTGCAGCCTAACCACATACTTGAGTATCTTCACTATCTTGATTACAACCTGATCCTTTCAGAAGAGTTTATTAAACCTTAAGTCTTTGCATTTTTTTCTCCCAGGGACAGAATCTATCGGAAGGCAATAGGTTTGAGTGAATGGCCTGCAGACTCCTACGTGGTAAGGATACCTGATAATGGTCCATGTCGTGTAACGGCTAAATTTTGTAAATGCTACAATCAATATTGTGCAGCTTGATGGCCAAAGAACTTACTCTCCAAGCAGAGGTTTGGGTTTTGGCTTGTTTTTAGGCTTTTTTATCAGGCTTACTTCTTGCATTGAAATCGTTGGCATAGAAAAAAATATACCAGTGCAAGAAAGAGAGCCCGATAAAAATCCTAAAAAATAAGCAAAATCCCAAATCTCTGCTGAAAGAGTACAAAAAACTCACTTTTGAATTTTAAAGTATCACAGCCACTTGATTCTGGTGATGTAAGCATTGTTATTCCTTCAGGCTATTTAAAAATAAGACCTGATTTTTACACTTAAGAATGCCTGATGTATACATTTATCCCATCTTTCATTCAGAGTACTGTATTGAACAAGCTCAAGACAAAAAGGCGTGGTCCTGGGACAGGAATCCTGGATGATCGAGATGAGTTCAAGTGAGTCATATCGATCCTTACTGTTTTTCTTATGATAGCAACAATCAAATCATTTCTTGCAATTGGAGAATAATGTACAGATATATATCATGGCACATGTGTACATTGCACACACGGCTTCCTACGAAATATCTACAGATGACTCAACATGTATGTACTGTTTCTCCTTGCAGGAAGAACCTTCTGAAGTTGAACATCTACTATGAAGCCTTAAACTATGAAACCATCACTGAGTCCCCTGCATATGAGGTATGCCTTCTGAAGACTATCTGTATTATGTTATTGTTACTATTGGAAGCTAAATATACCATTGCTGCGGTACACGATTGTACTGGAAGGTGAAAAACAGCCAGTTTATACTCTAGATATTTGTGTAGATTTTCGCTACATGTAAGACTCCAGTACCTTACAACCGTTGATGTTTATGTTCAAAATATACATTACTTGAATACCATATATCAACATTAGGGGTGGACCCCACACTTTCTCCGTTGGAGAATCTACTGAGTGAGCAGTGGTTGGGGCCGAGCTCTTTTCGGGGGCTCTCTTAGTTTTTTCCCCGCCCAGCTGAACTGGCTGCCCATTGGGAGAGTTACGTATGTGATAGGGTTTTGTACACAAGGAGTTGACTAGCCACATCAAGAGGTAGGGCTAATTGAGCCCCCGTCAAACAAAATTTACTGGGGAACCTAGCTGACTCGGGCGGGTTAGAGCTTCTGCAGCCCCAAAGAGAACCCGCTCCAACCAGGATAGACTGGATAGTGGGCTACAGTGCCCCAAAAAAGTTGACATTAGAGGATTTGAACTGATCCTGTATTTTGCTTGTTCTCTAGGTGGAGAACCTCCTGGGTGACCTGGGTGGCCAGCTGGGCCTGTGGGTCGGGATGTCCTGTCTGTCTGCCATGGAACTCCTGGAGTTCCTAGTGGACATTGCCATCATCCTCTGGAAAAAAATGTCCAACCGGGAAAAAACAACCTCTCGCAACAATGTTGTAAATGTAGCGGAAACTGGCAAAATTGGTACGTCTAACGGTCATACCATCCCTATTCACATGACTGAAGTGATGTAGGGACAGTCCCAGATGTTAACTCACTGATTACTGACCTCTTTACTGACTACTTCTAGAACTAGTCAAAAATTTCCCATTCATTGTTCAGAAAAGACGAATTTTTAAGTTGTAGATAACTTCACTGTCTTTGTTTAAGATATCTATGTATATGACTATTATATGTATATGACTATTATATGTACATGACTATCATATCTATATACATTGTATCAGATACTGTGTGCATGACTTTGCAGACAGTGTTTTTAGCTGATAGAAATTGTGTGCTTAGTATTGTAAAGAAAAAGACCTATCTGAATGATGAAATAGGTGAAAAATGCCTTCCATAAGGGCACAACTTTGGGACATTTTACGGATTTTAAGTCAACAACCCCAACCAATGGGTGATTAATTAGTATGTCAAAGTCATCAACTGAATGTTAGACATTTCATCAATGTTATACGGTAGTATCAACCTTTGCAAACAAGGGTATGCAATAATATTGTGTGTGTGCAGTACTACTATAATACTGTTTAACAGATTTTTATTTGTTTATTTGTATTTTCCAAAAAGTGAAAGGGACGGCAAAACAGGTGCATACATTTTGTATCTATGTTTTCTCAAGTAATGTCATACTTGTTCATCAGCATTGTACACATTGTGCGACTTGAATGTGTATATCGCGTGTGTTTTCTCTGTATCAGGCACTAAGTGCTTTGTACTTGTGTCTCGTTCTTGTTGCTCGAATAAAAAAATATCAAGCCCATAAAGTCATGGTTTCTCTCTTTGGATTTAACATAACGGAGTCCTTGTAAATGATAGTTAACATAATTGATAAATGAATACATTTATGAACGACACCACAGTCTCCCATATAATCATGCACATCATCAGCAAAACTTCCTGTCCATTTTTCAAAAAGTGGTGATGCTGCGACCATGACCAGATTTAGATGACACACCGTATCTTTATGTGTTTTTACCCTAGCCTTCTCCTCATGGCCTCTATTAAAAGTGACTGTCAGGCCAATTTTGCATTCCTACCTACAATGTAATGACATAAAATTGTGGAAAACGTGAGGAAAAACTGCACATTGGCACAGCAAGTCGATGGACTACAAGGGACCACATATTCTCTCCAGATCTGCGGGTTGATAGCCACTCAGAAACTTCAGCTGTTGCCTGCCTGTCTCCGTCCAACCTAGGAGGAAGAACAAACATTACATTGTAATTACAACCAGTATCATATTGTGAAAATCTTGAAAAATGGATCCAAAACACCAGATGACAACAACTTTGCAGTGTGTGACAGAAAAATTTATAAACCAATCCGTCAACCTTGACGAACAAATTTGACAAAAATCTTGTACCACCAACACCCCCTCTCAACCCCATGATTTTGCCTCTCAAAATGTGGGAGTGTGTTTTCAGAGGTTTGAAAATCCTAAATTTGCCCACAGACCCCTGTAGATTGTGAGTACTCTCTCCCCAGGTTCGATCATGAACCTGGGCTGCCAACAAAATTTTGAGCTGGCTACAACCCTGATGCCAGCATCAATAAAAATGACAGGTTGTTGACAGGTTGCTGAAGTTTAGGAGACAGGTTGATGTTGCATTTAGGTATGCAGCTCTACAACAACCTCTTATGTCCTGAGAGAACCCCACAGAAAGCCAGCGGGACAATGCTCACATTTTTCGTTCTGTATCCACATCCTGTCGGTGTAGTAGTCCAGACAGCTCTCTATCTCCTTCTCCGTGTAGTTCTCTACCAGTACGGGGACGTACGGGTCCATGTACTCAAACCCCTCCTTCCCCAACAGGGCCTCCGGCGTGAAGACCTGCTGTCTGGCCGACACGTGGTCCAGGATGTCGTGGTACAGGTCAGGGTTGTCCTCGTGACGGGTGTACAGGCGGTGGTCCTTCTTCTCTCCGTCAATACCGAGGAAGGCCGCTTCTCTCACAGCCGTGACGATGGCACCACCTCTCTGTTGAAAAAAAATTGATGATGCCTTGAGAGAGTTGTATGTAACTACCCGGTATCTAACCTTTTAGTGCCATACTGTACTTATGCACACATGCACACACATACACAGTACACACCCCCGCATGCACACACATGCACACACAGGAACTGAAGAAGGTAAGAAAAGATGGCAGACTGTAACAAAATCAAATTCAGATCAGACTCTGAACTAATGACAATGGTGTAACAGTTGAAACTTACCCAGTCATTTCGCACCAGCTTGCGGACATTGTAGATTAATGACAGTTCACTGCCATACGCCTTGAGGATTGGATAAAAAAACATTAAAAGACATATAATGATGAATCTGAAATCCTGGTTGGACAAGCATCAAGGTTGAAATAACTCCTGGGTTATTCTTTTTAGAAAATATCATTGTATTTGTAGTATAACCTAACAAGAGTCTTTGTACACAACATTGTCTGTTTTGTATATTTCTATACATTGTTGAGTATGTTGACTTTGAAATGTATACTACGTACCTGAAAAGGTGCGTATGCATCTGTTTTGTCCTCCCTTTCTCTTTGTGGAAAATCCCAATAAACAAACAAGAATTCAGAAATCTCATACCTCCATAAAATATGTAGAGTTCATGTAAATGGTTTTGGGGGGATATGATATAGAAATTGAATAAAACCCATACCACTTATTCCTGACAGGAAAAGCTATCTGTCACCAAAAATCAAAGACCATAGCATGTTAAGGACAAAAGATACAAAACCAGAAGTACTGCTGCAGTACCAAGGTCAGCCAGCAGGAGGCCCATATTTGACCTTGATCTTTGTCTTCCTACGACCTACCAACATACCAAATATCATCACAATCCATTAAGGTGTTCTCAAGTTATGATGACTACAAATGTGAGGAAACAAACACACACACACACACACACACACACACACACACACACACACACAGACAGACAGACACAAAAACAATACCTCCATTTTTTCATGGAGGTAAAAAAAACTATCAGGTAGCTCAGAAGTTACCACTGCAGGCGAACCACTGTTACAGTAGTGCTGGAGAAAAGTTACATTCAGGTCAGCCTTCAGCGTGCGCTGGTACGAATGTTAAGTACCTGTAGGTCATGACATCGTCACTCACTCTTCCTCACTGTGTCCAGCAAGAACCAGCAGAACAAAGGCGTCCTGTGTCACATCGGCATTCCCCATGACACTACCGTCACAGAAGCGTGCATAGACTTCATTTTGTGCAGGGGTGATTCAGAGGCGGGTCAGCAGTGGACTATCTCTAACACTGTTCCGACTTGTGCCTTACAGGTGGGAAAATGTTCACTGCAAATTCTATATCTTTTTGGGAACGCTTGCTACGCTACGTAGACATGCAGTTATAATGTCTGATCTATCATGCATGCCTGCTGACTCTGTTTGAAAAGGCTAGAACGAACAGCTGTTTTCAACACTTTGACAGACTGAGGCTCACTAAATACATCTGGTTTTCAGCTACACCGCGTTACGCTCGAAAGTTGCTAGAATTTTTGTTCAGAAGAGTTTACTAGTATTTGACTTGGTGGAAAGTAGATATAAGTATCAAGGTAGGGTGAAAAGTTGACCAGATTTTCCATTCCTTACAGTTAGCAGACAGACAGGTGAAGATGGCAGCAACAAGCGAGATTGCCATTCCACAGTGTGCAGAAGACATCGCCCCCTGCTGGGTGCAGCAGGTACTGCAGAAGGACCTCCCGGGCGTCACCATCACGGACGTCCAGGTCAAGGGGTCCATCAACCAAGGCGAGGGGTTCACGAGCGACATCGTCGCTTTTGATGCCGTGGGGATCAGGAATGGTGCGAGTCAGCGATACAGTCTCATCGCTAAGCTGTCAGATTTCGAGCGCCCGCTAACGATACTTAAACATTGGTCAAAGGACTTTCAGATCAAAGTGGATATGACTGAAGTCAAGTTTTATTCCAAAGCGGTCCCTGAGCTCCTCTCTGTGGCAATCCCAAACACAGAGCTCAAATCTAAGGCAGGGAATGAAGATAACGCAAATCATCCTGTTGAGTCCTTCAAGTTCCTCCCAAAATGCTACTTCGCCGCCACTGATCCGAGCTCTATGGTGTCCGTCAGGGTTATGGAGAATCTGAAGGCTCAGGGCTTCTCCATCAAAGCCAACCGCCAGTCACTGAACCATGATGAGATGATGCTTACAGCCGGGGCCCTGGCGCAGCTGCACGGCCTGTCACATCGGCTGGAGCTCCGCGAGGGCATCCCTCTTCCCGAGAAGTACGACTGGATCATATCCCTCTCAGATGCTCCAGATGTGATGATGGAATCAGTAACCTACCAGTATCAGACCGCCGTGAAGGCATTCGCCGCTGCCTTTCCTGACCAGGCAGATCTTGTAGCTCGTCTGGAGAAGTTAGAAATGAAGGTCCTGGAGCTTCTCCTAAACGAGGCCCCGGGGTTAAAGGTGCTGAACCATTCAGAATGTTGGATCAATAACATCATGTTTAAGGTGAGACATGCCACACTTTTCCTTTCTTGTTTCAAAACATTGTAACAGTTGTGTTTCATTCAGTTTTCTGTAATTGTTTTACGAGATGATTTATAATAGCTGTTTCTTTGTTCTAAACACAGTACACTGAAGGTGTGCCCACTGATGTAAAGCTTGTGGATTGGCAGAGTCCCAGGTACCTGCCGCCGACCCATGACCTGACCCTCCTGTTCCTTTGTAACACAAGTTGGGACGTCTTCCACAACCACAGGGACGCCATCCTGGCTCACTATCACCACAAACTGATGGAGACCCTGGGTCCAAACGGTGAGAACACCCATTTTTTTGTCTTAGTGTACAAATTGTGCAGTAGAGCATTAGAGCCATTTAGATCACCTAAGTTTGTTTTGTTTTGTTATATATAATAGCACCGTTGACGTTGTAATGAAATTCATCTCACCAAAAGAAAAAAAACAACGAATAAATGCTCAGCCTTGCGTTATATATTCTTCTAGAATCCTCGGGCTTACAGAGCTACACGCTGGACCAGCTGAAGGCAGACTTCAAAGTCGACTGTGTGCACGGGGTGCTGGCCCGGCTGTTCCGTTTGATGGTCCTGCCTGCGGATCCAGATCTGCTGCAGATTCTTCAGGAGATCCAGGAGTGGGGAGTTATCTAAATGTACACATTTCAGTATGCATTAACTGCAGACATGTCACTGTAGCCGACGCCACTATAGTCCATCAACAGTCATGACCAACACTTGTCAAAGAGGGAAGAGCACATGTTTCAGTTGTTGGACATATGTTAACATTGATCATGCAGATTGCTCAATTATCCTTTTCTGTTATATCATGTGACATAAGCAGGGGAGCAGGGACGTATCAGACGTTTGAGTTTGCAAGCAACATGCCATTTTGAGAGTGGAGTCATTTTAACTCATAGAGGTGGAGGACAAAAGTTGTGTTAACAACATACAATATCTATCTATTAATTAAGGTCTATTATTAATGATCTACTAATTATTTCATAGAATTGCTCCTACATGTATAACCTACATATACACACCTGAAAAGCCGAAAAGGTGTTCGATAGTATATATAACCCAGTGAAAGTTTATATGTAGAGATGTAGAGTTAACGTAAATGTTTTTTTTTAATTTGATATAAAGATATTAAATAAAACCAATAGCACTTATTCTTGACAGGAAAAGCTATCTGTCACCAAAAATCAAAGACCATAGCATGTTAAGGACAAAAGATAAAAAAAAAGAAGTACTGCTGCAGTACCAAGGTCAGCTGCCAAGAGGCCCATATGTGACTTTGTCTTCCTATGACCTACCAACATACCAAATATCATCACAATCCATAAAGGTGTTCTGAAGTTATGATGACTACAAAATGTGCGGAAACACACACACACAGACAGACACACCAAAAACAATACCTCCATTCTTTCATGGAGGTAATGAACAAAGTAACAACTCACCATTGACCTGTCTGGTTTCCTGACAACTGTTCGTCCAAATAAGGAGTTGACACTATCCACGGCAACCAACAACCGTATCCTGTGAAGTGCACATGTATATGTTTGTTGTTTCCATGTTGTTGTAACCTTGGACCACAAATCATTACTCAACACAAATGTTTATTGCATTAATGTGTGTGTTTTCACTGTGAGCGACGCCCGTTTCCTCCTGATGCAAAATAAAGTCCCTTCTAACTCAACTGAACACCAAAAGGCATACATCTTTTGTACATCATGCCACCTTTCAGAATTAGCCTAAACTGCAGGTCTAACTGTGGGACAAACCCTGCCATTGGCCTGACTGTGTAAGAATGGTCCGGTGACGTTCCACCCACCTTCCCTGGTTTGCCTGGTCCTTCAGTTCCCTGATGATGACCCCGACACAGTCTGTGGCTGTCTTGGGTCGGGCAATGCCTTGTTCCATCACCTCCAGTAGGGGGCGCCCCTGCTCTATGGACTCCCGCTTACTCCACTGGTACTTCTGCTGAGTCTGCAGCTGTTTGAATGACAAGAAGCAGAATTACAGACTGAGTCACATAAACATAATATACATGTAATTTTGATTGTAATTCTAAGCCTTTAATACTTGGTGCTCCCTTGCAATTGGCAGGATAAATGATAGTGGAATGGTAGCAAATGACACAGTTCACTAACTTCCTTGATGGAATCTGCTGCTGAGACTTTGAATGTCTTGAGCCAGTTGACAGCTTCCAGAGGCTGGTCGTACCTCTCAGGGTTGTGGAACGACGGCTGGATCTCCTTCACATTCTTTACCCAGTTACTCACTGAAAGTAGAGGTTGCATTACTTCAGACTACTAGTATTAGAAAATTGTTACTTGGCTCTGTGTGAGGAGTGGGAATGGACAGGCTCTTATCTTTACAGGAATTTGGTTCACAAGTACAAAAAAAAAAGATATGTACTGGTTTATGGCCATAAAAATGACACACATACCTTTAGGAAAGAAGAGCACCACCCAGCCCTGCTTGGTGCAGTAATGGAGAACATGGCAGAGGCACAATGTCTTTCCAGTCCCTCGTGTACCATCTGAGGTGTTAACATCAAGGATCAGCTACAGAATACATATTTAACAAGAAATGCCTCCATCTGTGTCAGAAAAGGGTACTTATTACATAACAATTTGGCAAAATGTACAGTTTTCTCCATTAAATTCAGACAGTTGATAACGTTTGTAACTCAACTGTGGAGTGTCCAGAAGTAATACATTACCTGTTCAGCCTTGGAAGTCTGAGAAGAGACACCTGTCAATTGTGGCATGAACTACAAGGTAGAAATCTGAGTTCTTGGTCTGTTCTCTTTAGACTAGCATAACAACAGATGACTGAAGAAAGGATACAGAAAACATATCTGATAGCAGGGTGAGAGTAGTTGGCCTGTTGTAGGTAGCTCATCACCTCTAGACTGGGTTTTCTCACCATGATACAGGCCTCTGTGAAGGTATCAACCTGAAATATCAAAAAGATACATGTGTAAGATCCACTTTCTACATCAACAATAAAAACATACATATACCTGTATGGATTACAACTAAATGATACCTTAAGCTATTTCCAAATATTTCCAAATTTCTCAAAATATTGCCTTTGGATAAAATGCATTAATCTTTATATTTCAAAAGAAATGTTATAACCCTTTTCCTGTGTTAATTCCTCTACTTCCAAAGGAGGCCTTTGCCACACTACTGAACAAAAACCAATTCACTGCTTTAATTCAGCCAGAAAATTTGCCAAACACATCTATGAAGTACAAGACTTTCACGTCCCAGAGCTGTAATATAAATGGAACATAATCCAGCATTTTATATCCAATAACAAAAGTCACAATAATAATTATGACTACACTGATGCACGGGCTTGTTAATGGCATTTAGGATAAGGAGGAGTATCTTATTTACAGTGGGACTCCCCGGGCCTGGAATGACAGATTCAGAGTGATACAAACATGACAGTTGAAGCCTTGAGTGCACACTAAATGATAATTCTGTCCCTGAGCTACATGTCATCTTCCCTTTATCACCGGCGTATGATCTATATCGTTGTTAATGGGAGGGAGCGCCGCCTCTCTATCGTGAATATCAGAGTTCATAGTACGTCTGATGCATCATCAGCACGAAGCTCTACCGCCTCGGGGGCAGGGATGACTGAATACTGAGTGCTCTTTTATGGGGAGCCTCGATGATACACTTGAGATAAATACACCTGTCATAGCTCTGTTTATAGCGCTCGAAATGTGCAATATGCAATAAACTGGTGCAAGGATTTAATGTGGTGAAGGATCGTCAGATGACATATTTATGACATCAGGTTTTACATAATGGTGCTCCAGGATATATCAGTCCGTTAACTGATTCAATAACATCAAGGAGAAACATGACAAGGTCTAAACACATACTCATTCAATTGTCAGTGGGCGGCTTTTCTGAAAGACAGTATTTTTAAAGCTTTGAATTCACCTGGTAAAATGGTCTCAGATTTAAATTGCAGGTATACCTTCTATTGAAGGTGATAATCTCACAAGCTTTCTTTATCAATGTGCAAAAATGACACCTTTACACTGTGTGACAGTCTCTGTGTCGTATAAGAACTGCTGTACTAATCGGCTACTAATGTCGCCGTGCACAACAAATGACCTAAGGACATTCAATACTGCTTAAATTTGTGATTCACACAGGTCAGGATGGGCAGGAGGGTTAGAGATGACAATGAGTCATGAGTGTCTTCCATAGATTTAAAAGTATTAAGTAAGACTTGAACTGAGAATTGTTTACAACTTAGCAACTTTAATACAGTAAACAAAAGAATTCTAATTTTATCTGCTTTTTCTAGAGTTTTAGTTTTATTTTTTTTTACAGAATACCTCACACTAGATATATATCTCAAGCTTTTGGGACAATGACTGCATAGGTTGGCCTACTGTCAGTCACTATAAAATATTTCTATATTCTGTACAATATAGACAGATTACATCCATGTACTGTCTGCACTATCAACACAATTTATCGGGTCACCACATCCACGCTGCAGGTTCTCTTACAGGAGGCTATTACCCTCTCAGGGTAATTCCATCAATTACAGCTCCCTCTTCCATGTTTTGTTATGCTCAGCTCTGCTGGCAGAAGGAATTTTCCCTGCCTGACTCTTGAGTTAGCCGCAGGAATTCAAAAGCAGTCAGAAGAAAGTGATTAGTACAGCCCATTTGGTACTGTTAAGTTCAACTTACACACAAACTGTAATCCACTTATAGCCTTTCTGAAGCATGGTAGCCTAAAGTAAAAAGATTTTCTGTATGCTGTATTATGGATTTCCACTTAAGGCCACAGTTATTTATTTTCTTGATTATCTGCCATTTTCATATTAAACAGAGTACTGGGAGGAAAACTTACATATTCACTGCCTGATACTGTGCATGTATCAAGGCTCAGACTTTCTCTACTAACTCTGTTTTCATGTTAATTTTTAGGTTCAACATTCTCTACATCCGAGAACCATCAAGTTAAATTGATGTTGCCTGAACATTATTCTTGTGTCAAATAATTCTGTGTTTACTAATCTTTTGTATCCTTTTCCTTTGTGTCTGACACCTTGTCCCAGCGTTTGACTCAGATAATAAATGCGGGGATTTGCAACCTTACCCTGTTTCAAGGCCCATTTTCCACATGCCAACACTTCCATAAATTAGATTTATGGAATCCCAGCTTCCTGGCCAAGTAACATATTCCAATCTTTATGGTTAATTTATTGGAATGTCCATCCATGCATGTTGGAATGTTGAATACGGCAGTGGGGGATGTTTCAGATTACGTTTCTTGTCCCTAAATGTAATCGTAGTGGTTTAATAAGTGATAGTAAAAAGACATTTAGGCAGCTTGTAGGAAAAGTGCCAGACAGTCATCAGTGGAAAATGATAGCTTTCTACATCTCCTGCAAATTCTTAATATTATGTAAAATTTAGAAATAAATTCTATGTATCATCAATATAGTTAACAGTCCTTTAACCTTTAGCATGTTACATGTACCTTAAAATTTCTCCTGGTCCACAGATACTCCACACGTGACAGGTTAAACTAACATTTCTTTTCATAGAATTCTCAGAATTATAAGCGTTTTGCAATTAACTGGCTGCCACTGTAATACCATAAACACCATTTAGAAAATGCAGGCTACAAAAATCAACATGATTTACTGAATAATTGCCGATAAACCATGACCACGTTTGTCAATATAAAATAGGCGACGTATCAATTTCCTTTGCATGAACTGTTCATAATAACACATCCCCCCATAAGTTCACAGAGCCAGTAACACAATTTATTACAAGTGCATCTGTGCAGGCTTGTAGCAATAACACACTTCATGGGCCTGATTTGATTTGGGCCGATCCACTTACACAACCATCTTAACAAACCTGTAATCCCACTACACCAACATGGACAAGTATATCTTATTATCTTCCACAATACGTGGTTCAAACATGCAGATAGTGGTAAAGTTGATTTTTTTTCTACATCTATAATAAACAATTCAAAGGGGCATCATGTAACATTTTTGCACCAAACATTGAAATATTTTGATTGAAATAATATTAGCGTGGATTGTAATCTATTTCCACTTTTCAACATACTTGTGCAGTTATCTCACATTTTTTACATGGTTGGTGCTAAAAACAGCCCTCATGAGGTGCTTTGAGTTTGTGGCACCACCACAAAACACCAGAATGTAGACAAATATGGCTGACAGCTGTGTTTCAAGCTTTTAAACAAACTCGTAAGGTGTCGTATTTTGGCTCCTCCACTTCCTGAATGGCACTTACAATGTATTTGCGATGGAGTAGGGTTGATTCAACTTACTTTGTAAACAAATGGCCAGAAAATTTCCTTCTTGTATAGTCTTAGTGTTATAGTCTTAGTGCAACTTCAAGGGAAAATTAAGACAAATGACAAGGCAGGCAGAACTGACCTGCTTCTTGAACCTGGGAGGAATGCCGTGGTCCTGAGGAAACATGGTCCTGTACTCCTCAGTAAGGGATAGTATAGAACTGTGCCTCCTGCTCCAGACTGTGGTTTACCTGGATAGTCAATGAGGAACAGATAGAAACTTGGAACACAGAATGGAATATCCTTGGTGGGAAAAAAGACTTCGTGATCTCCAGTTTATCTCATTGAAGAACTAATCTTCCATAGGCCATGGAAGGAAAGACAGATGATACATACAGTATACACTAGTTCATTATAAATGGAAATTCTTCTTGCTCTTTTAGATACAAGTACATTGAACAGTGGAACATACTACATAATACTAAGGCCTGCAATCCTTTCCAGTAGTGTACGTGTCAGGTGAGGGACAGTAGCCAATTCCCAACCTCTTGGTCCAGAGGCCGGGTCGCTAACCACTGGACTGTCCATGTTACAGTGGATACAGTGGAAAAATGAACACTTGAAGAAGAAAACCAATTAAAGTAATACTGTTGTGAGGTCCAGTTGCACCTACAGGGTTGGAGACAGGTGTTCTGAAGATGGTCCTGACAGGAGGGGGTTGTGGGACGGGTTCTCTGGTCTGGACGATCGGCTCAGTTGACGCTGCCGCAGAGGAGGACCTGGCGTAGCGTACAGTCTGCTCCCCATAGGGCCTGCGCAACATGCTCTGCAGAAACACAAGGTAAAACATTACCATCTTCCCAATTACTGCTGGTTATTCTTTAACAATGACATGCACTTTGGCACACAATCAAAGACAAGTGTGGTCTTTTCAAGTAGTACACAACTTAGTAACTGGCCTTGGCTAAAAAATGGTGTCAACAGAAGAAGGACAGCTGCTTGTATCAGATATCAAAAGAGCGTTTGGAGCTACAATATACATGTTAACTACATGTACATGTGTATACTAATGTCTAATGCAGGTATGTGCAGAAAAAGTCACAGTATACATGTACATGTAGGCATAATCTAATCATAAGCTGTATCCAAAATGTTTTTCAAAAGCAAGATGTTTTTCAAAAACATCTTGGATACAGCCTTCAGTCCATTAATACTGTGAGAGAAATATCTGGCTTTTCCTTTTATTCAACGTCATGTTGGAGAATAGATTGCATGTATACATTGAAAGTAGAAAATTATTTTGTTAGGACTCTACTGACAGAACGATGGAAAAGGATCTTCCATGACTTCAACATTTTACTTCACAATACAGCAAAATCCTCAGGACTGTCTCTGAATGCCCTCAATTTGCCGTACAACAGTTGTAAACCTAGCGTACGATGAATTCACTAGGGCCCTTACCCCTTACATGACTAATACTCAGTTATCATCACTTCAATAGCAGAGATCTACCGCTATCCTGTCAGGCATCAGTGAACGGTCCCCAGTGGTGACCTCATTCCCAGTAATAAAGCTGAAGGTCACCACCTAATGATAAAGGTCAATCACAGCCAACCTGACATGAAAATCAGCACTAGGCTGTGGGAAAGGAGTGCAGAGGTTGTTATCAATTTACTTTCACATATTTGTAGATAGACTAGTGATGTCTGATGTTCTGGCAGTGGCTGATCAACAAAAGAAAATTCTATATTCAAAATTAATTCAGAACACCAAGCCTTGTACAGAATCTAGTAAACTTATTTCTACCAGAACATTCTGTCACCAAAAAGGGCTTCTGTGAAATATCATGATGAAATGTTCTAGGTTTGTGGTTTTCACATTGACCTCTCTACTCACTGCCTTTCGTTACATTACTATAGTCATTTCAACTGATTACAGCGAACATCTTTTTCGCCTTGAAGTCTTTGCAAATCAGTTTATGGTATCATAGAAGTCAGAAGTTACCATGAGATTTAGAAATGTTTGAATTTTGATGACAGCTTGTTGATGTTTTGTACACACGGTATTACCAACCCAATCACGCACCTGTAACTTGTCCAAGGACATGTTAATGTGGATCAATAGCTAGTGTCCTTGTTTCTGTAGTCATGCATCACTAGCCATCTTACTGATAATCAAGCAGATGTACTGAGTACCGACTCCTGTATCTCTCAAACTACAGTACTTACAACCTCCCTTCCAGACTTTACCCACTCTATCATTATTATCTATGTGTCCTTGCTGATATTTCATTGAATATTGCAGAAGTGAGTGATAAGAGTGAACACTGTGTTCTGTATATCCGGACACTTCAGCCAGGTCAATAGGACCTGACATTTACCATGCCTCACACCATCCATCATGAACTGGGTCACAGGGAAATTTGTATATATGAGGTCAGTGCACTCATCATAGATTGGATCACGTGATACTTGTAATCACCCGTTAGGCATGGCAATTGGCAGGAGCTGTGATTTGTAACTTTATATGAGATTCTTTATTGACTTGACAAAAGTACAGGGACTTTCGTATGGTCTACACCACAATGTACAACTGAGACTGAACAAAGCCAAATACATGTATAAAGAAAGGCATCCTACTACAGAATACTAGTAACGTTATATGTATGCGGCAAACTATGTATAGAATATATGTCAGTGGCAAAAGAAACAAAGTGCCTGCCTGCTTTGTTACATTTGTATTTTCATGAAAAAAATCTGAGAACCAGCAAATTAACCTAGTATGTCAACTGTGGCCTTATCTTGACCAGGATGGGTGATTTGCAATATTACTACATCTGCGACTCAGCAGTAACTGATGGGTAAATCTGATTGGTCATCATCTAATGCTGTTATCATGATGGACAGGTGGGATTTGGTAGGTCATGACATTTGGCAGTTGCTAGTGTAAATATCAAGCACACTGCTGGGTGTTGTCTTTATCGGTATATATCAAAAGCATCTTGTTCTTTACTTCCAGTACCAGTATCAGACCTGTCCTGGCTTTACAAACATTATTTCAGAAAAAAGAGTCAGTGTTCTTGGAAAATACTTTATGTTATTAAAAGGAATTTTCATTCAGTCTTCACTTATCTGATAGTGAAAATGGAACTGGCAATTGTGGACATACAAACACTTGTGGATATAATTGGAAGGGAAACAAGGAAAAAAAACAGATACAATGCAGTGTAAATGAAATCATTTGGTCAATGGAATCAGTATGAGGTAGAGATTGGACACTGGGTAACATCTGACATCAAAAGTTTTCTGATGAAACTAAAAAGCTTTGAAATGTATTTTCAGCACCAAGGACAGACACCTTCTAGTCAGGACCTTCTATATCTGCACCTGTATAACAGTCCTTCAGTGTAACACACCAGCTTCTGATGAATTAAAAAGCTTTGAGATGTATTTTCAGCACCAAGGACAGGCATGCTCTAGCCAGCTCTTTCTTCTGTATCTGCATTTGTATACCCTGTCTTCAGTGCAACACACCAGTTTTACAGGCCTGCAGTGCTGCACTAAGTCCTTGTTGTTTTCAAACCACCATGCACTGAGAGGAAAGCTTTTACAAACGAGCTTGTAAGGTCGCACCACCCAAGGCAAGAACCGCGTTACCTCTGCCATTTCCAAATATGCCAATAACCAACCACTCCGCAATAACTCTCGGGTATGATGTAGTCGGAGACATTTGCGCTGGCAACCTCCTGATCCTTAATGTGGTACTTGGTACGTAACGGCATCCGACATGGCTCAATTGGCGTGCGGAGAGCGAGTCCTCTGGCTGCGGAACGATGATAACCAGCAGGATCAGCCAAACACCCGTATAAAGTGTGGTGGAAATGAAGTAACCCACCATTAACAACACTCACTGTCTGCTAGCCTGGAAACTAATGGCAATCAATCAACACTTACACCAGCAAAAGAGGTCAATAGTTGTCCTTCCAATCTAAGGTCTCTGGAAGTGTTATAATGAAGGACATGTTTTATGAGTGAATGCATGAAACATCCTCCACAAAAACTGTAAATCTTGAGATGCTCCCATGTTGTTGTTTGTTTTTTTACAGTGACCTCTCCACTGTGAAGAAAGTGTTTAAGAAAGAAAAAAAATGTCTTCATTTTTTCGAAGGATATATAAACATAAATCCATACAGATGTAATAAACATATTTTGTTACTTGAAACCTCTGAGACCCCAAAGCAAAAGGAGAGTTATATTTAGGGTGCACCTGGTCTCGATGAGTAATAGGAGATCCAATCTAGGGACGATTTGTTGCTCATTGTGTCTGCGAACCTCCTTCATTGATTCATTATTTATCACAGCTGCATAAAAATGACACCACCCGGGAGGGGAGAAGTAGGTCAGCCCTTTCATCCATCACTCTTCTGACGATACAGATCTGTTGCTGAGCACGCCAATTGTCATTAGGCCATCTCAATACACAGTTTAGTAGCCTGGTGTACCTGTTATCTCCTAGCCGATATGTCAGTCGCTCTTGTTTTGTGCGTCTTTTGTTATGGTGGCTACCTGCTTCATGTATCTCTTTCCTTACTGTTCAACCTCCGTTTAGGAGGAGGCAAAGAGTGTAGAGTGTAATACATTTTGTACTAGCAAGACATACTACATGTTGCAAAAACATGGGTAAAACACGGAGACTAAACCGGATCATTACATCTGCTTCTAGATGAGTACAGAACATAAGCAACATACATGTATCTGTCATACATACAGAGACTTGTAGAACTTGTGAAACCAGAGTCTACTGCTGACATGGCTTCTGATTGACAAGCCTGGATATGTGATTGACAGCTCTGTAGCAGCTCACTGATGATGATGATGATGATGATAACCCAGTCTTGTTCTGCTATATATATATGGTCCAGTTTCTATCATCATTATCCTTGATAGTAATAGTTGCTATACAGAACTTTGGAGTTTGCTGTCATTTATTTTACAGTAACTGTTGCACATTGTAGAAATGACTGGATGCATGTTTATTATATTAGGGTCAATGCTTTTGCTAAAAGATGGGTGTTTGATATGAGAAAAAACAAAACAACCAGATTTCAAGGGCTTTAGATGCTTGCATTTCTTTCTATGCCACTTCCTTCTATAACAAGGCTACATGTAAGCAACTTATCTTAACACGTTATCAAACCAAAAAATAGCATTGATTGAGCCTTAATCATCCAGCTATTGACAGATTTGTTTTGATCTTACACATTATGTCCCAGCTGACCTTTTGCCCTCCAACCATTGATAAGCACAGAGGGGATCATCCCAGCAGGTAATCCCGATGGAGGGTATTCTTGTACATGTAGGTCACACAAGTACCACTGAGGCATCTACTTAATCACATCAACTCCTCAGACAGGATAAACACTTTAACCTAACCTGGGGAGGAACGATAATGAAATTTTCTCATCCTCAAATGGGGAAATGAAACAGCCAACAATATAACAATATACCCAAAGTCATTATATTCATGTTAATTTTCTTGATGACATACAATGTGTGTAAGGGAATCAATTGCTCTTATCTACTTATGTTGACCAAGATGGCTTCAAAGATCTTTAAATAGCACAGTATTATAGATTTCATTTAGTTCAGTGGCTCTTTGCTCTCTAGCATTGCATAACTGAGTAGTTCTCTAAAACCTATTTTTCCTAAGTGTTTGATCAGCTGTTTCAAAGCTAGAACATAATTGAACTTTGAAGTATATTATTCCAGTTTACACCGCAAGGGCTTGAAATTCCTACCTGCAACCTGCAGAAAAATGATTTGATGTACAAAATGATATCGTACATGAAATTTTGTCTGTATGACTCATAACCAAGGTAAAGCCTGTATGACTCATAGGCAGTTGACAAGTCTTGTTGTTGTGTGCAATAAGAGTACAAGATGGGAGTCCATGGGACAATACTTTTGAGCATTACAAAAATCACAAACTCACCGCATGTTCTACGTGAATGCAAAATTAGAACAACATCTAATTCTACAGTATATACAGAAAGGTTTTTTCAACTTGCAGGTAAATTTCGTCACAACCTGCAAAATTGCAGGTGACAGAAAAATGGTTTTGATCACTGTACTGTTTTTCCTGTATCTGTACAACTGAGCGCTTACAAAATGCTATGATTACAGAGCAACCAAACTTTCACCTAGTCTCGTAACCGCAGTGGACTACATGTGTATGCTTTGTGGTTACCTTCCTAGCAACCAGTAATGTCAAATAAAATCTACAACAGTACAGCCTTTACCAAGTACCATATCCTGTTGTAACTAATTACCTAATCAATCAATCTCTTAATTGCCAACTAATAGCCAGTAAACAATTAATGACTAGATTAATGATTGATTAATGTGACTAAGTAATTGCCGCTTAATCGCACCCAACAAATTTTGGGAGTGATTGATTACTTGCCATTTCATTGGTGATCTTTGGTGGCCTGAAAGTAATGAATGAATGAATACTGCTGTATGAAAAATGAGGCTACTACATGGATATTTACAATCACACTCTTGGACTCACTCCATGGAGCTCACTTGTGTGTAGAAAGTGTTGCAAGAAATATTCTTAGCAGAACTGACAGGGTAGGCAGGATCAATTTATCCCTACAGAGGATGTATTGCACTTTCTGGCACATGTCACTTGTAAGTGGCATTATATTAGATAACCCTAACGCAAACAACTAGATGTGGGACTTACAAACACAGGTTGGTTAGTTTGTGATGTATGCAAATCATGAAGACAACTGGGAGCCATAAACATAAGGATAAATTTCCTTACAGTGGCACATGTACTAATTAATGTCTGAAGGCAATGATTATTTGTATTGTACATGAATGAAATGAAAAAAAAATGTGGGAGAATAGTACAAAATATGCCAAAGGCAATAAGATCTTATTTTGCACAGTGTAAATGGTCTCATTATCATGGATTCACAATGGCTATCAGCCATACACAAAATTCTGAAGTTCAAAATATCTATTCATACATGTAAGTACATGTATGTATATTCGGGATACCTCTATCAGTTCCCATACAAGTATTTAATAAAAATCTCTCTAACATGGTAACATTGACTTTGGTTGACATGATATTGACCTTGGCCATTCTGCTGTGACCTCCAGGCTTATAAACTAGATTTACAACATCTTCATCAACCCAAGTCCTCAGTTACAGGGTCAGACAGGGCAAAAGGTTGGAGGTTGTGTCCATCTGACTCAGTGCCAAGGAAGAGGGTTATGCTGCTGCCAAAAGAACACTACAGAACTATAGATAATCGTTATGGATGATGAAATGCTGCATACCATAATACCCTGCCTGGGCAAGCAGAACTTGCTGTAATCTTTGGGATTTTCAAGGCTGTAAAATTAATCTCTCTGAATATGTTGACCATCATATAGACTTCACACAGAATTGGGAAATGTACAAGAAGATTATAATATTTAGTTAATGTTTTGAAGAACCTGAAGGAGATGTGGATTGCTCGTAATCTAAGAGACATTGTACAATTCAGATTGATAATGATAGTAACACCTTGTTTCATTGGATGTTCCAGTTACCAATGAGAAGGCTTGTAACTACAGCCTGTTTGGCACCAGATGTACAGACAATGCCATGCAAGTTGTATGCAACAAACTGACATTACATATACATAGCACACATCATGATTTAACACATCACGTCCATAACAAAAATCACCTGCATAAAAATGTTAGTTCAAATGTTGTCAGACAATATAGACATTATCAGAAGACATTTTTTTCATGTTTGAGTGTAAGGGGAAACATTACTTACCCAGGTAATAGGTAAAGGTCCATGGTTGACATGTCTCAGCTCAAGTCCTACCAAACAATAATACATAATATCAGTACATGTACCAATAAAGGTCCATAAACATTTTGTACAAAGTTACAGTACTGTATATGCTACATAAAACTCCTTCTGTTCAAATACTAGTATTTTGTAATAATCAGAGGTGGTAGTAGACGTTATAGTAGTAGCTACAGTTGCTTTTATAAATTACAGTCTGGAACTGTACATATTTTGAAAAAGGTAAGTGGGAACCAAATGTCCTATCATGCTAATATAATAATGTCCTTGGTCCTATGAAATAAGATTTGAAGTACACACACAAAAAAGTAAAACACATGAAGCTAGAGGATACTACAGACAGTGCCTCCATTCCAGGTATACTTGACTTGTCACAGAGTGTGTGAGCTTGTTGTTTGTTTATCCAATTTTTAACGTCATTTCGCCCAAAACGGGGGTTAGACGTGCTTGCATCAAAATTTATGCAAGTCTTTTTTCTGGAGCAAGATATGATAGTTACTAGTTCTTTCCCCGTGTATCATTTATACTAGATAGACGCAAATCAATGGTCGAGGTGTGGAAAACTTTGCGGTTTGTCAAGGCCAGCTTTAAATTATGTAAATTATGTAGCAACACCTAAACTTGTAAATAATTATGCAGATGATGGAGCACTAGCATGTTTATGTTCACACTACATAAAAGACTCACAAATGTCATATAATATACTAGTAAATATTTGGAATGGTCTCTGTTAATAACACCTATAAGAAGCATTGTAAATGTCTGCAGTGCGGATACGTAGTTTTAGGGTTGTACAAACAACACCCGTTTGTGACTATAGTGTGAAGTGCGTGTATGGGGCCATGAGGGGTGCTGCAAACATACTGTTATACACCGATATCACACGGTCGGAGGGGCGCACACAAATTGAAGCATAAACATCACGATTTTACGGTCTATGACAGAATGAACATACCACTTTTGAAACCACATGACAACCGCTATCCATGGGCATAATTGTATCCCAAAAACGTGTATATTGCACCACGTAAAGAGATAAAAATCAGAAATTTACCCTTTCGACGGAGCTCGCGAAAAATCTTCATGGGCGCCGCCATTTTGAAGAGGTGCACTCTGGGTAAAATTTCCATATTTATTACGAATGTTTGAATATTTTTTCCCAAAATTGACTTCATACACATTTAAACTATCCCTGGATACGTTCAGAAATTATATTCATCCCAAAGCTTAGCGTGGAGCGGAGACATTTGGCGGATTTTGTGAGCGCGGGTTTGTAGTGGCAGGGCAGTGCCGGACCGCCATTTTGTCTTGTGGCGCAGTCTTTATGTCTGCATTCGGTCGGTAATGTGACATTTTCGCGCCATTGTTCGGGCTGTTGACCGACTTGTACAGCATCTTCGGCGAGTGTGCAACTTTCAGGTAATGCCTACGCTTTCTTGATGCGATTAAATTCTCGCTAAAAATTGGCAGGCGATTGGAAATGTGGACGGATGGCACGATCCGTGTGCAGCCCTTCTTTTGCCCGCCATGCAGCCAGTGAACCCTGATCTGCGAATGTGCTGTGAATTTTATTTTCCATGCTAGCATAGACTCGAGGTTCTCTCTGCTGTAATTTGCTTCCATACGTATGATTCCACACGCTTAAGGGTATTAAGGGAATGCCCATACACTGGATGTTATGTTTATGTAGCGTGTGTGTGTGGTAGCTGAGGGCTGGACCTTTTCTCTGCACCACAATGATGTGTGTGCTTCTGTGTTGATAGGTTCCTTTGATGGCGGGAATTAAGAGCAGTTTTGTGGAGTGAGCGGGAGAAGGTAATCACCCTCCCCGGGAAGGTCATACGATCAGTGCGGGATGGAACAGAGAGAGGCATTGTTTCCTATGGCGGCCAACGTGGGGGAAACGGCGGAGGAATGCTCGCACGAGTCGCCGGTGGAGGAGGAAAATGGCAGCGAGACATCATCCAACGCCAGCTCCTCATCCCTGAACTCCTCCAGCACTGATGGCAGCGAACACGACCACGACGGCAGCGAGCCGCACGGCATGCGCGAATTCTCCATCAAGGAGACGAACTTCGAGCAAGGGCAGTTAAAACTGAAACTGCAGACCAAACGTGTCACAAAACCGCCCAAGAGTCTGGAAAATTACGTGTGCCGCCCCTCCATAAAAATCACTATCAAACCCGCTCACTCCAACAAGAAGGCTGCGTGCCACGAACAACCGTCTCCGCCGGACCCGGATAAAACGCCCGAGAAACTGGATGCCGCCAGTCGTAAGCAGGTATGCTAAGTTAGTAATTGTTACAAATATGAACAAAAGGCCATGTCAGTAGTGTAGCATGGCAGAAGTCAATATATATACCACAGTCACAGACACATAGCACACCCTAGTTGGCATGGGTCCACCAGGCAGTCTGCGGGGCTAAAAGTGTAACGGCTTCTTGCGTCATGGAGCGCCATGTTTGTTTGAACTACCCTAACCAACTGACGTCAAATCCAACTGTGGCTGTTTTCTTCTTGGAAATTGGGAGAAATGCCACCAGCTGACCAGCATGATAGAAATCAACACTAAAACCATCAAGGCTGTTAAAAATAGAAAAAAAGGAACTGTACGACAGCATCCACTGGCATGGTACATTGGTAGCGAACTTTGCCAAGATTCAGTTCCAAGATTTAGTAATACTAGACAGCCAAGAAAAATAGGTAGACTGAATGTGCCAACTTTCTATGTCTTATCTACAACCTAGTACAAGCTCCCTTTTGCATCTAAAAAACAACATATGTGTCATCATTATGATGGGGGAAAAGAGTGTCAAATGCAAGCCATATGTCCTCTGTACTCACTGGTATGACAACACAATTACTGAAATTGTACAGCCTGACCTACTCTACTGAACTAGATAATGTAGATTTTATGATTGCCATTGACGCCATACATTAATCTGAAACGGTATACAGCTATAGGTATAAATATGTCCCCTAGCCAAGAAGATATCAGGGTTATTATTAGCAAGTAAATTTTCTGTGTGTAACCACATGGTGGGTTTATCAGCTGAGCCATAAATGGTGTGCAGAGTTGGTGACACTGACTCCCTGCATGTTTATTTTGGATGAAACCTTTTGACCTTCTTGCTGCTTTTGGCATGGATGATCCCATGTGATGCCCACCAATTACATGTAGATGTCACACAATCAACAGTGGGGCTTCTGCCTTTGTCTCATTAATGACCTATACTCACTCCAGACCTTGCCTCAAGCGCACCCATTCATTGTTGCTAGTAGGAGTTGTTGTGTCTAGCTGGCTTTACCTTTGTTAGGCTAATATTTACTCATTGTCACTCCAGGTCCATATTGATGTTGATGTTAGTTCTTATAAAGTACACTAAGGGACCTCAAATCCTATTGTAGCAGTCCCCTGTGTGGTTTCCTGGTGAGAGGATTGGATGGTGCTCCTATGAGTCATTTGTTTTCCCCCTGATGCGGTGGTTGAAATGGCCCAGTGAAGTGGAGTGGACGACAATAGCTGAACAAATTGTGTGGTTGCCTTGAAGGGGGCCTTCGCGACTGGTGGTCAGTGTTCGCGACAATTGTTGCCAACAAAAGATGCATAGTGCATTTTGATAGCATTCATTTGTACCTTGCAGAATTGTTTAACTCTTTGTCCTCAAGGGTACTGTAACAATTTTACCCCCAGTGCTGTAACCTGTTAGGATAATGTGAAAAAAATAGTATCAAGGCAAGACTTCAAATTGAAGGTGGTAGTATCCAATAATTGATTATACTACTGCGGGGTTAAGTAGGATATTTTTGTGGCAGGGATTACAAGATATAGTGCCATATACACATGTTCACTCCATTGTATGAAGAAGTGGTAC